ACAATGGAATATTATTCAGCTGTAGAAGAAAACAAATCCTACCATTTGCAACAACATGAATGGAGCTGGAGGGTATTATGCTCAGTGAAATAAGCCAGGTGGAGAAAGAGAAGTACCAAATGATTTCACTCATTTGTGGAACATAAAAACAAAGCAAAAACTGAAGGAGCAAAGCAGCAGCAGACTCACAGAACCCAAGAATGGACTAAGTTACCAAAGGGAAAGGGACTGGGGAGGATGGGTAGGAAGGGAGGGACAAGGGGAATAAGGGGCATTACGATTAGCACACACAATGTAGTGGGGGTGCATGGGGAGGGCAGTATAGCACAGAGAAGACAAGTACTGACTCTATAGCATCTTACTACGCTGATGGACAGTGACTGTAATGGGGTATGTGGTGGGGATTTGATAATGCGGGGAATCTAGTAACCACATTGTTGCTCATGTAATTATATATTAATGATACCAAAAAAAAAAGTAGAGAAAGTAGATAGGAGTGGTTATGACTGGCTATAAATTGTTGAAGCTGGGTAATGGTGTATGACAGTTCATTATACTATTCTTTCTACTTTAATGTATTTTGAATTCACTATAATAATTTTTTACAAGGTTACTTTTCTTTCTCTAGTTCTTAAGAGAGGATGCTCATTAAGGCCACAGTAAAGTTACACTACCTGACTGGGACCGCCAGGCTCATCCAAAGAGCATCTGGCCAAATGTAATCTAAATTACACTGGATTTCACAGTTCTGACATGGCTGGAGGACAGGGTGGCTGTCGCCTTGAGGGAAATAATTCTTTTCAGTACCCTCCTATAACACTCCTAATGCAGAACTAAAATATAGTTAACTTAAATTTGACATTTAAATCCAGGTTAAAACAAACAAAAAGAGGGCAGAAAATGTTTTCTGAGCTTTCTTTATTTCAAGTGAAACTGTGCCATAGTCAACTGAGTCTGTAGTTGTGCTTAGAATGTACTCCCTCACATTCTCCTCTGGGAAAAATGCAGCTTCTTACTTTTTCTCAGAATCCTGGGCCCTGAAATGGGCGGTTATTTGGGTTCCACAAACACATAGCACAATCCCCAGTTGGAGGCTTCGAGTAGCTATTCATGTAAGTTGATTTTCCTGTGCATTTATACTGAGGAGGATCCAGCTCAGGCTGATGCCCTGGGAACCAGTGAGGCGCTCTCTCAAATCCTGAGGGAAGAGAATGAAAGACAAGGGGCACCTGTCACCTGCACAGTCTTAGTGACCCATCTCACTCACAGACAGCAAGTGCTGTCGAAACTGAGAAAAGAGAAACTGCTCACCCCCTTACTCACTCATTCCGTTTACTTTTACTTGAGTTCCTTCTATGTTCTAAGCACTGAGTTAGGGCCTAAGATTTTAAGAATTAAAAACAATAGTCCACCTACTATGGGTTGAAAGCGGCATTTTGTTGTTGTAGCTTGTATCATACGTTGTTTCAAAGTAGTGTCCGAACTGGAAAAAAATAGTAATGGATTAAAAATATAGGAGTCTATAGCTAATACTGTGAAATAAAGCTCACAAAGACCTAAGTTCTAACAGGCTCTGTCATATTTTAGATTGACTAGAAGTCTGTATGTCACTGAGCTAAATTCTAACTTCCTTATTCTTTGTATGTTTGTTTAGGAGAGATTTAAGGACAAGACACAAATAAAGAACAAGTCTAGTTAGGCAGGGACTAGGGAAGCATCTAGCCTGAGTCAGAGACATTATGCATTTCTGTAGATGAAGAAAGTCCAAACAGAAGCAGGAGAAAAAGAGTACGCATTCTTTTAATACTTTAAGATAAAATAATACTAAACTTGATAGCAAAGTGGGGTAGGTGTTCCAGGTGAGGACTGCTGTCCCCACCCCACACCAAGCACTTCACTGAACAGAAGCCTGAGAGATCTCAGCATTGGAAGTTATCAGACTCCTGCCTCTTGAACAGCTAATGGTATTTCTTTTAATAACAGAAGAAAACAAAAAGAGAAAGTTAGATTACCTGGGAAGGCAAGGGTTTGGGCTGCACGATATTCGTTAGATCATATCTTTCTTGGTTCCAGTTGCCCATCAGGGTTTGGTTCGAATAGGCATTCTCGTGGGTGGTGCATCTCCATCCATACTGGAAAAACTTGGACATATCATTCCAATCTATCCACACTTCCCCATGGCCATCTGCATTAATGAGGCTCCCATAGTGTGGGTTTCCAAGGAAATAAGCAAGGGACTGTCTCTGGGAAAAGCAATAACAGAAAGGGTAGTAGAACAAACCAGAACACAGAAAAGACACCCTTTTCTCATCCTCAGCCAAGAATAACATAAGAAAACCTTACTAAGGATCTGGGCTTTCCTCCCAATTTAATTGTCACAGTTCTGTTCCTTTCTCTCCAGGCCCATGAATTCTTTGACCTACCCTCTCAATTAGCATGTATGTAGATGCCCACCCCCACTGAAAAAAAGAAAGGAAGAACATCAGTACCCCCAGTACTATATGGAAAACTGGCTAAATGCTCAGGTAATTTTAAGATGTAGGGGTTTAGGACTAGGAGTTGTGCTATAGCCAAAGAATAGGGAGAAGTGAGAGTTAGAAAACTAGATAACACAACAAGTGATCTGTAAATGATAGTTCCCTTCCTTCTAGGCCCATCTCAAATGCCACTTCTATAATGCCTTCCCTCTGGTTAACTTTTGTCTCACAGAGCTGTATCTTCATATCTTTCTATATTTACAACTTTCTATGGTATGTTAGAGCTCTTCAAGTACATGTGGAATCTCCTGGAATGAACAGTACATCCCTTAAGGACAGGATCTGGGTCTTACTCAGTATCACACCCTCTCTTTCTGCCTGCCCTCCCATTCAAAAGTGCTTTGCAAATACCAGATGAGCAATGTCTGAATTTCAATTTTTTGTAAATAATCAAATGGCTAACCACTTTTATTTTAGGCCCCAAACTGTGTCTGGTCCCTTGGCTTAGGAGCAAGACAATACCTTCCTTGAAGAGAAATTTAATGCTGAATAGCTTGTGTTGTCTGAAGATTTTATAGGACAGTGACAGAAAACCTTACTTGGCCACTCCATGCTCTGTAAAAAAAGAGATGTCACCCAACCTGGCCTTCTCCATTCTCCAAGCAAAGAACGTAGGTCACCCAGGTCATCATGGCCACGTGGCCAGGACTTGGGAGTCACTACCACCCACCCACCTTTCTACAGGTAGGGACAAAGTCAATACTGCAGCTTTAAAGGTAGCTGCTCTTTGTGAAGACAGATGCATTCACTGTCAACAAACCGCATAATGACTAGTGGGTAGCAAGTCCCACAAAGCCCAACTGGCCTAGTACTTAGACTGCATACTGAAGTGACACTGCCCTCAGGGCTGTAGGTACAGACATCACCATCCACTCTGCTGTCCAAGCCTGAAACCCAGGCTTTGGTACTTCTCTTTCAACTCCTTTATCCATCCAATCACCAAGTCTTGTTGATTTTTGGATCAGTCCACTACCTTCCATCCCCACTGCCAAGTTGCATCTCAGATCCCTACCAGCACTTGCCTCCATTACTGCAGGATTCTCCTATCTCATCTCCTTCCCATCAGCTTTGTTCTTCTCCAGTTCTTTCTCCACAGGAACGCAGGACTTTTGAAAATGAAAATCTAATTTGGCACGTTCCTATTTAAGATCTTTCACTGGCTGGCCACTGTCTTCAGAGTGAGGTTCAGGCTTTCAAATGGCTGAAATCCTCTGTATGACCTGGTCCCCTGCTTAACTCTTTAGTCTCATCCGTCACCCAGTCTCCCTCCAACTAGTTCAGCCAAATTCAACTATTTTGTTTATCCATCATCCTTCCGCACGAATCGTTCCTTCTGCCTCTTCACTTCTCTTGACCCAGGTAACAGTGTACTTTTTCCCTCCCTTAATTTTCAACTCAGGTTCACTGCAGCCAGGGAAGCTTCCCGCTGCCCCCCAAAACTGGTAAGGCCCCGAACCCCTCCACTCCCAGCACCGCCTGAGAACTGCCAGGTGACAAGCCCCCTGAAGCCACAAGGCACGTCGCTCATCCGCGTGTCTGGCCGCGCTCGCAGCAGCCCAGCACACCACGGACACTCAGTATTTCCTGGGCGAAGGAGGGGGCCAGAAGCACCTGCAGAAATTCCGCGCAGCAGGGACAGTGGGCGGCGGCCATTCCGGGGATGCGGCTGGTGACCCTCCGAGACGGCGACCTGCAGCACGCAGCCGGCCTGCCCTTGACCGCTGCCCCCGCCTCAGCCTCGACGCCAGTGCCCGCTTGTGACGTCACGCTCCGGCGAGGAGGTCGCTCGGCCGCCCTCAGACGTTTATTCAGGCAGTCCCGGGCGGGGAGGAGGGCCGGTTCCAGCTTCGGCAAACCAGGCCCCTTCCCTCCTCGGGAGTCGCGGCGCCCGCTCGTCGAGAGGCGCAGGCGCAGCGGGCGCGTCACCGATCTGACGCGTGGAGACCCCGAGAAGGAAGTGACGTCAAAAGCGAGCGCCTCGGGAGGCGCGAGCGGGGAGCACGCTGGGGCCATGGCCCCCCGGCGTCTCCTCCTGGTTGGGGAGGGCAATTTCTCTTTCGCCGCGGCTCTGAGCGAGACACTGGGTCCGAGCACCAGTGTGACTGCCACCTGCCTCCAGGGCCCGGCCGACTCGGCCCGGGATCCGGCGGCCCGACGGAACCTCCAGCGCCTGCGCGAGCGAGGTAGCGAGGCCTCGAAGCCCCGCCCAGCTGTGGCGCGCCGAGCGGGAGGCGCGGGGAGCGGGGTCGCTCTGGACCGTCTGCTCTTCCGAAAGCCCGCGTGTCCCGCGACTCGGGTTTGCGGGGTTCAGGTTAGGGAGGGGCTTTCTCTGGCTCCACGTCTTAAGATGTCCTCCTGTCTCTGTATCGTGCCAGGTATCGAGGTACGTTTTGGTGTGGACTGCACCCAGCTGGCAGATGCCTTTGAACTGCACGACAGGGAGTTTGATCGAATTTATTTTAACTTTCCTCACTGTGGACGCAAAGCTGGAGTAGCTAAGAACAGGGAACTGCTTGCCAAGTTTTTCCAGAGGTGAGAAAAGGAGCGCAGTCAAAAGCAAAATAAGTTTAAGATGTACGTTACACAGTTACTGCACTCAAAACATTTTAGTTTGGGAAGTAAGGCATACGTGTGGGAGTTACTATGATTTACAGAGAATATAAAGCGCCAAAGAAACAGTCTAGTTGGAAGGGCAGACATATAACCATAAATGTTAAGTAAAAGTACAAATAGTGTAATTTCAGGTGTGTGAAGGGAGGATCACCTATTTTTGATAATGCAGAATAATAGCCAGTATAATCTAATGACTAAGAGCTGGATTTAGGAGCCCAACTGTCCAAATTCACATTGCCATTCACCGCTTTATAGCTGTATGACTTTAGGTAAACTTAATCCTTATGTGCGTTTGCTTCCTCATCTGTAAACGGAGGATATTAATAGTAACTACCTAATGAAATTACTATGAATTTAAAACAGTGCATTACACAATTATATCAAAACACGTGATTCTGTGGGAGGTCTCACACAACTATTGGGACATAGTTGTCAGGAAACTTTTAACAGGCAGCACTTTAAGTTAGTATTTGAAGTACAGAATTTTAATAGGCAAGAGGGGAATGAAAAATAACAACTTTCTAAGGGAAGAACAGCCTGATCAGTGAATTATGTACAGGAACTTTACGGACATTGACCTTTCTGACAGATGAACAATGCAAATACAAACCTGGATAACACCCTGGGCAGCCTCGTATCAGTTATGAGTCGAACACTGAATTTCCATTCTTATTTACTTCCACCTATTTTCTTTGTATGTTTGAAGTCTGATAAACCTTTGCAAATAGGCATATTGGATTTTAATTATTTCACAGCCAGACCATGTGTATTTAGACCTGTGCTGATTTCTATGTGTTTCTGACAAATAGCTGTGTCTCCCTCTGCCATTAGCTGTGCAGACGTTCTTGCAGAGGAAGGAGAAATCCATGTGACATTGTGTAGAGGACAAGGTGGGACACCAGCTGATGAACCCATGAGAGAATGGCACAATAGTTGGCAAGTGGTTGCCATGGCAGCTCTGGGGGGATTCATTTTAAGTGACGTGCATCCCTTCAGCTGTGAGGCTGTGCCAGGGTACAAGTGCACTGGATATAGGTAAGTAATGACAGAGGCCTGAGCCTTTTTCCTCTCTCTCTCATGATGAGAAAATCTCACAGGCAGACTTTTTCCCGGCCAATTTCCTGATTCAGTCTCTAGAAGTAATTGTTTTCATTAATAATGACAGACTTCATACCTGGTTTCTATTTTGCCAGGAGTCAAGCTAAATCCTTTCATGTAGAAGGTGCTTTGAATCATATCTTCACCCAGAGCTTACCCTTTGAAGGTTCACAACCCAGAATCTTTAAGATCAGACTCGATGACCAGTGGTTTTCCTTTCCAGAACCAGAAGGACTTGCAGGGAAGTTGAACAGGTAACCTGTTGTTTTATCCCAAATCACTTCTACCCCTAGTTGTATCCTGACCAGCTTGATAGCAGCTATATATTGACTGGATGCTACATAAATTGTTAATGATGTTGGTGCTTTGAATTCATATTAGTCTGTCCTATACAAGCCTCTTTAGAATTAAAAATTGCCATATTTTCTGGTATATTGTAGGGATATTGACTGTCAGAGTTTTGAATCACATGATATCCCTGTTTATGGTAGATGATTTCTTTTATTTCCTTTCAGGATCAACTTACGGATAATTCTTTTCCTTACAGCTATTTGTGGTTTTAATTCTGGCTATGTTACAATTATTTATCATTTGAAGTTTAAAAAGTTCTTTTTTGGGTGTGTTTAAACAGAGGTTTCCTAGAAGCACCTTCATCTCATCCTATCAGAACCATAAATGAGAAACTTATTTCTGAATTGGGCAAAGCTTTCCCTCTGAAAAGGCTGAAGTGCTCCTTCCCTTTGCTGCCACAAGGACCCACCAGTGTTCTCACTCACTGGAACTGTGACGTTCTACCAGCTGCCTTTTGGATTAGTCTTTGTGAAGATAACTCAAGTCCTGAGTCCCTCCCTGGTGGGACGAGACAAGACATGGAGGACTTTCTAGTATCATTTTCAGAACTTAGCCTTCCCAAGGCTCCTGGAAGAGACAGTAAGGAAGAAGCTCATAAAGGAACCTATGACCAAGCCAAGGTCTGCCTTAGACCTTCTCTCCTAGTTCATGTTCAGACTGTCATCCAAGCACCAGACTTCCTCCCAGGTTCTCTGCATGTCCTTAGTGGACCTGTCTTTCGGAAGTGCCACATCTTGCCTTTCAGAATGCCAGCATTTCACGAGACTTTACTTATCCTTGGGTTTAATAAAAATCTGAAGGATGGCTCTCTTCAATCACTATTGGATCATCTAAAGGGCATTCTGGAAAGCCTTCTGACCCAGATATCATTGGAGGGCTCTAAACTGAGCAGCAGTTCAGTGGAATTTGTCTTTCAACCAAATGGGAAAGATTATATGATTAATGTGAAGTCTCATAATTTTGGCCCAGGTTGTGCCAAGGATCTGCTTATTGGGTCTATCACTACATCTGTTGCAAGCATCGTAAACAAGGACCAGTGTTTTGTGTTTGTGTCTATGAACTTGGACCTATTAGCCATGCTTGTCTGGGCTATCTCTGACTGGAGGATGTTGTGGACCTTTGATAACCGTTTCCTAAAGAGTTTTATCCCTGGGAAAATAGAACCCTTTAAAAGCTATTCCCTATATCCTCCATGCTATGTACATGATATTAGTTTTTGGATAGATGAGGAGAAAGGGTTTGATGAATTAGAGTTTCACACCATGGCCCGAGCAGTGTCCCAGGACACTGTCACATCCATACAATTCCTTAGTTGTTTTCAGCATCCAAAGACTGAACAGGTTAGTCTCTGCTATCGACTGACCTACCAGACCTGTGACAAGGCCCTCACCCGGCAGCAGGTGGCATCAATGCAGTCCCAGTTTAGAAAGGAGATTCAGCAAAGACTACATGTAACAGTTCGGTAGTTTAGTAAATTTATTCTCCAGTGTAATCTTTTGGGTGTGGGTATGGATGAAAAAGAGCAGTTTGTGCCGCCCAGCTGTCCTTTCTGGACTGTGATTTTGTGAACTCTTTTACCTTGTGACTAGCCAATGTTGGTTTACTCTATAAAGAAACTGTGACTCTATCACTTAAACTTACAGACTATAATGTGATTGTGACTTTAAACTTAGAGGTTATAAAGTGATTGTGCAATATTTTGATCCCGAGTAATGACTAGGAAAACAAAACGGCAAATTGTACTTTAGATGTTCTCTTGCTGAAGTGGCAGAACTTGAGTATCTTATCAAATCAAATGTATTTTCAACACTGCCAATGTTTCTTCCCTTAACACTTTTGTATCATCTCACTTAGTCAACTTATGAGAGTGGTTTTTAGAGCCAGACAGACTAACATTTATTAGCATGGGTAAGTTTCAGAGGTGCTCCCTAATTAGTTCTGGTATCATCGTCATTGTCATCATCATCATTTTTATTCCGTGGTTGAATACTGTTAAAGTCATGGAACCAATCACTGTCAGGCTTAGAGCTCACACTCGGATCTGAGTCTAAACCCCATATTCTTTCTTCCACTTTCTTTTACTTCTCCTTCTCTAGTCGTCTTCAGCAGTAACCTCTCAAATGTGATTAGCTCTAAATTTTGGCCCCCTAAGATTTCGGGGCCTTCTGTTTTAAGCATCTTTAAGGGACACAGGGAGAGTGGCTCAGCCCAGGACTTGGCAGAATGGACTATTCTAATGAGAATTAATGTATGTTCCTGTTAATTGCTAGGCTCTACAGATTAAAATTATAAGCTCTGGAGAAAATAACTCACTTGTTCTTGTATTTGGAGAAGAGCGTGTGGGAAGCAAGAATGGAAGCAAAGAAACAAATTAGGAGATTACTATGTTAATACAAATGAGAGATAATGGTGACCTGGGCTAGGGTGATAACTGGGTAATATTTAGAAGGATCTGCTGATGAATTAAATACATGTGTGAGTGAAGGGTGTGGGGTTAGAGATATAGAAGAGTCCAGCAGGATTCCTAGGTTTTTGGCTGAGCAACTGGAAGAATAGACATGTCACTAACTGGAATAGGAAAACCACAGGAGTTAGCATGGGGCACGGGTTTAGGAATCAAGGGAACCCTTTTGGACAAACATACTGCTTACCTCTCCAGATAGACTATCAGCTAATTGAGGGCACGTAATGTGACTTACAGCTTTTTCCTATCCCCATAATGCCTGGTATGGGGATGAGGTAGCATTTGAGGTGGATCTTCAAACAATAGTAGGGATGTGGCGGGAGGATTGTTAGGCAAGGAGGGCACTCATTCTAGGCAGTGGACATACACGAGTGGAAGCAGAGATGAAGCAGCATTTGGGGCACCTTTCAGGCAGTGGGAATATAAAATGTGTACAGGAAAGTAGTCAGAAACAAGGTTAGGAAAGTAGGCTTGGGTCAGGTCAGTCCATGAAAAGACTGAGCACCAGAATGAGGAGCTTGTACTTTGTCTGGCAGGAAAGAGGAAAAATGGTGATTTTTGATTAAGGAAGCAACACAGAGTAGTGCTTTTGAGAATTAATTGGATGGTGTTGCACAGGATGAATTTGAGATGGGAGATTCCTGTAAGGATGCTATTGTACTAGTCTGGCAGAGGCAGGGAGGGGCTTGTATTACAGGGAAATGAAAAGGAGATGGATATTTGAGATATGGCTAAACTGGGATATCTGAACTTGGTAACTAATACTTGTGTGTGGGAATTGAGCAATATGATCAATCTCCATTTTCAATATTTGGGAGTTGTTAGTATGAAATCTTATCCTGGGACCCTGTCAGTTCAGCACTTGCTCTATAACTTGGTTACTGGTACAGGTCTCCGCAAAGTGGGATAGAACTCCGGTGGGAGAAGTGGGTGGGGTGTCAGGAACAGATGAGTATGTAACAGAGTGAAAAAGCTTGACATCTCTGTCTGTATACTGTTTCTGCCTGCCTCCTTTGCTGCCATTATCTTAGGGTCAGAAAGCTGCTTAGCCCTGCATGTAGGCTCATTAATCATCAAAGGGAATTTTGCTTATGACTTAAGATTGATGCAACCAGCCCCTTACCTGAAATGCGCTTCCCCAGAGGAGATAAAGAAGTTTTGTACAGAAGTTAACGACTGGATTATCAAGAATCCATAGGAACAAAAGGACTGGAGGTGTTAGGAAGGAAAGAACTCGGCTGGGTGTCACAGCGAAGTCAGATATAGTGAGACAAGAGACCAAAGTCAAGAAAGCAAAGTTAAGTTTTAATACACTCTACATAGAGTAACAGAGTGGGCCTGCCTAAGATAAGACAGGCAGGCAGTGGATGCTCATTCTGAGGCTTCTTTTATGTGGTTTTTGGCAGGGCAGAGAGGTATTTGATTGATAGCTCTCAGGTCTCTAGGCTTGTTCTGATTGGTGAAATGGGGACAGGGGCTGTGCTGTGGCCTGTGCCTCTGATGTTTCTTATCTGGAGGACCCTGGACATTTCCTGAGTCACTCTTGGACCCTTTGGCTTCATCTGGCTAACTTATTTCTGGCTTTCTGGTTCTGTTTGATTAACTCCCTGAGTCCTCTTTAGGGGACCCTTTCTCCTTTTCATCCCACTCATTGCTGTCTTTCTGCCTAACAGAGGCACCTAGCCAAAGACAAGGAGTGTCACAACTTTCCTCAGACCCTTGCTGACATCCAGATGTCTGAGGACGATAGTCACCTCCTGACCTCAACCCCCTCTTGCTCCTCCTTCCCTAATGTAAAAGGGTTGAAATCGACCCTGAGTTAAAATGTTCTTTAGGACTTTAGTCTGCCATGTTCTCCATCCGCTGGCTTTCCGAATAAAGTCACTTTCCTTGACCCAACACCTTCACTGTCGATTTGTTGCCATATCATGTGGCAAATGACACGAGCTTGGACTTGGTAACAAGTGTCTGAGAGTCACAGGCCGGTGACCAGCCTGTTATGAAAACACCCGTATGAAGTCTCCGCGCTCTCCTCATCCTTTGGTGGGAAGAGCATGGGCCTTGCAGTAAGGTGGACCTGGGCTGGAAGAGGACTTCACCATTTCCTAGCTACACAACCTTGGGCCTCAGTTACCCTATTGATCAAACAAACAGTTACTGTGAAGGATAAAATATGTCACTTACCAAATTGCTGTAGTAGCAACCTCAGTGACCCGTGTCAGGTTGAATCGTCGCAGGTTCTTGAGGCTTTCTCTGCTCTGTATTGCGCCATGACGGCTTCGTCTCTGAAGCCCGAGTTAGCTCCAGCCGTCTCTTCCACGGCCACCCAGACAGAGGAGGCAGGGTGTCAGTGGCCGTTTGCGCACGTCCCCTTCGGTGGTCAGCTCTGCCGTGATCCCTAACTGCATGTGCACCTTGGTACTAACTCCGTGGTGGTCACTTTCTATGTGTGTTTGCTTTCAGCACGGTGGGGGGCAGAGGACGGTTTTGTAGCAGAGCGGAGAACGCTGAAACGTGAAGGGAGAGAGTCGGAGGGAGGGAGGGACGCTGAGAGCTCTGAGTGTGGGAAGGCAGGGAGGGCCCCGGCGCCCCACCTCTGTCCTAGCCGCGGTCGGCCCCGATCCGTCCGGGAACGCGCAGCCCGTCTGCGCATGGCGCGGTTCGGGCCTCGGCGGACACCGTTCGCCAGCCGCAGCTGCGTCACCGCGCTCGCCGCTTCCGTCCGTGCCGCGTTCCGCCCTCCGCACGCTGGCCATGGCGAGCCGGGGGGCCCGGCAGCGCTCGAAGGGAGGCGCGGGTAGCGGCGGGGACGCGGCCTCGGCCGCCGACAGGCTGCGGGAGCTGCTGTGCAGCCGGGAGGCGGGCAGCTCGGAGCCCCGGCCCGAGTAGGTGTGCGGGCGCGGCGGGGGCGTGGCCGGGCGGGCGGCGCGGGGCGGCACCGGGAGGGCAGCGCCGGTGGCCTCTGCGCCCCGGCCCCTCTGCCTCTCCTGGGCGGCCCCCGCGTCGGGCCCGCGATGTTCGTAGGAAACCCGAAGTGCGGGTCTGTGTAGCTTGTGGCGCAGGCCCACGGCGGGCGGGCGCACCGGGGTTAAGTTGGCGGAGCCTGAGTGGCCCTTTGCCGGCCGTCTCAGCGCTTCCTTCTTTCCCGCAGGGTCCCGGCCCGTGACTCCCCGGGCGGGGCCCGCGACCTCCGCCCCCGGTGACAGCAGGTTAGGCGCGTGACAGGAGCCCTCGACGCGCGGAATCGGAGGTGGTTTCTGCCTTGCGCATGTTAGGCCTCCACTCATTCGAACAAGTGGGGAAATGATAAAGCCACCGAAAATAATGGCCTTGTTAGGAGGAGAAAGAAAAGGAGGATGAGAGCTTTGTGCCTTTCAAGCGAGTGTGATCAGTTGTCTTGGGATAAACGGAGTGTCATAGATGGAGTAAACTAGCGTGTAGCAATCACCTTACACCTTAAAAGCGGAAGTGGGAGGCATGGGTGAAGTTAGGGTCCTAATTTGTTTCTTACTCTACTCGGAACAACAAACGGTTCACCTTTTTAGGTGAGTAACTTAAGTACTTTGATGCCCGTCTCCCATTCTTGTCCTTTCTTTGCAATTTTAGTCCTTCCTGTTAGCCGGTCTTCCTGACACACGCCTTTTTTCTCTGAGCAGGTCATCTGGGACCAAAGCAGGGCAAGTCTGGGCACCCGAAGGGTCTACCGCTTTCAAATGTCTGCTGTCTGCAAGGTTATGTGCTGCCCTCCTGAGTAACATCTCTGACTGTGATGAAACATTCAACTACTGGGAACCAGTAGGTGATTCCTTTAGTTTTCATTTTTTGTTCTGGTTGTCGCTTGGACCTTGTTACCAATCAGGACATAAATAATAAGTGTGACTACTGGTAAAATAACTTATTTTCACTTTAGTGTTCTAAGTTGATTTGCATACTGTTAAAGGTGATAGGAAATTTGGCTGTATTCCAAAATGGTAAAACCTATAATTTTACATTTTTAAAAAGTCAAAATAATACCTTGAAAGAGTTTTTAAAGTTAACTACTGTAAAACCTAAAAACATCTCCCTGTTCCACTTACATGTCCAAATCCCAGGCTCTAGAGGCAACCACTTCCAACTTTTTGTTATTTCTTCTGAGGTTTACTAAAATAAAACATGTTACTTAAGTAGTATGCTTATATTGCGGTTACTTGATTTATACACTTAAAAGTCTGTTTATTTCTTATTATGGAAAATTCAGTGGTAAAATTTTCTGATCACATTATGCATAAAAAATAAATGCTTAGTGTAGGTAGTTTAAGGAAAATACAAGGTTTAGCATTTTTCTGTTTCAGCTAATGATTTTTTAAAAAAAATAAGTAGAGGGTAAAATTTAAGCTTTCAGTCTTGACCAAAAAATTATCCTATAGAATTTATAATGTCCTAGTATTTTTCAATATTGGGTCATTTTTATTTTTACCCATGAGTTGCAAACTTTGAGAATTTTAGCATTTTGGGGTACCTTTATTTCATTAATACTTTTGTTCAGAAACTTCACCTGCATCCTCTTAATATGCATTTTTGGCTAATGTAACTGTGAATCCATCTGCTTTTTTACTTTTAGACACACTACCTCATCTATGGGAAGGGGTTTCAGACTTGGGAATATTCCCCCGTTTATGCCATTCGCTCCTATGCTTACCTGTTGCTTCATGCCTGGCCAGCTGCATTTCATGCAAGAATTCTACAAACTAATAAGGTAAGGGCAGGCCAACCTGGGAGCAAGCAGAACTGATCCCGAAGTGAGTCCGTGGAACAGTTCTGAGAAAAGGACAAAAGATATTGGTAGTTAAGAGGAGATTATTTTTTTAAGAAGACTCATTCACTCATTCATTGTCCAACAAATATTAATGGAACAACTTTTATTAAGTAGACACTTAGCAAAGTGCTTTGGACATAACAATGACCAAATCTCTGTCTTCGTGGAATTTATAGGTCAGTGAGGCGGGTGAGCACTGAACAAGTAATTATAAACGCAGTCGGTCTTACTGAGGAAAAGTACAATGTGCAGTGGGATAGCATATTAGGAGCTTAATGTAAACAGTGCCAAAGAATAATTGGGAGCTGATATTTCTGACTTATGAATTTTTGCCCTTCTCATGTATGTGAGATGATTCTTACTTTAATTGCATTTTTCTAGTTACTAGTGAGGTGGAGCATTTCTTCATTTATTTATTGGTCATTCAGATTTCCTTTCTGTGAATCACCTACTCACATTCCTTGCCTGTTTCTTAATTGGTCTTTCTAATGTTTCCTTCTGATTTGTAGAAGTTCTCAATTAGTGGCCCCCTGGTAGGTTTTAGATACTGAAAATCCTTTCTCTAAGGATATATTAACTTTGTGGTTCTTTGTTGAATGGAAATCTTTAATTCTGATATAGTAAAACCAGTTAGTTTATCACTTATGGTTGGTGGGTGTTGGGTCTTCTAAAAGAAATCTTTCACCACAGGTCAAAAGAATATTCTTTATTTTCTTCTATTAGCTTTATAATTTTATCATCACGTATGAGGTTTTAATCCATTCGAATTTGCTTTTTTTTATAAATTGTGGAAAGATCCAGCTTTATTTTTGCAGTATGGTGAACTAGACTAACTGACTAGTCCGTCCTTTTCCTTCTGATTTGTAATACCGTCTCCGTCATAAACCTTATTCCCATATTTGCAGATCTGTGTCTGGCTTCTTTATTCTATGTCATTGGTAAATTTGTCAGTACCATATTGTAATGTGTGTCAATATCTGGTTGAGGAATTTCTTACTTTGTGCGTTTTAAAATTTGTGTTTAAAAAATCACCTGTGAATCAGTTTGTCCTTCCCTCAAATTCTGTTGGGTTTTGATGGGCGTTGCACTGAATTTACATACTAATATGGGAGTCAGTGTTTTTACAGCATGAAGTCATTCCATCTCTATAAAGATATATTGATCCATTTAGTTAGGTTGTCTGTGTCTTAAATTTTAAATGTATCCATTTCAGTTTTAATAGGTCAATGCCTCAATTCTTTGTACTTTCGGTTGGTTTTGTGAATACTATGTTGTTCCCTGTTATTTTTTTGGGTGGTGGTTGCTGGTATAGAAAACAGAATTGTTTTTGTTTTTTTGATCTTAATCTAAGTCTTGCTAAATTTCCAATTAGTGTCGATGGGTTTGTCATGTGAATCACTCGGATTCGCTTTCGTCTGTGTATACAGAGTTCAATTTCTTTGATTCCATTCCTTATACCTCATTTCTTTTTTGTTTCTTTTTGTACTGACCAGGACTTCCAGTCACAATGTGGAATGTTGTTATGGAGGCATCATTGTTCCTGCTCCCAAATACAATTCTTGTATTAACTGGTGTTAAGTTTTAACTTTATAAATGTGTTATTGTACTCTCTCCAGTTAGATGAGGAGTCCTTACACGTAGACACTTTATACTAAAATTACCTGAATCCCTGGTAGCATCTAGAATAATGCTGAGTGGATGGATAGTAGGTTTTCAGGATGTTTTTATTGAATTAACTAATGAATCTAGGCATTTGCTGGGCCACTTTATTGAACTCTTTTTGCAAGTTTTTGGTTATAGTGGTGAAATGGAAAGTGCTTTCAAGTTATGTGCAGTTATATTAATCATAGTGCTTAAATAGTGCTTATATTCTGAGGTATTCAATGCTCTTAAACATACCAGTATAGTGTAGTATAAAAGTTACACAGTGTAACACCTATTATTTTGTTACTTTTGTTTTTGAATTGATGTTCTTAATTATAAAACTAATAAAATCACATTACAGATTTTTAGAAGATAGGAAAAGTATGCACCCAAACCCCACCAGCCTGATACAGCTACTTTATGTTTTATGTTTATGTATATAATATTTAGGTACATATTTATTATATATATATACATGTATATATATATTTATATTACAGTTTTATGTTTCTTTCCAGTCTTTTCATATGTTCTGACTTCTGTAACTGTAATTCTGATGTATAAATAATATTGTATTACTCATTTACACTTGATATTTTATAATTATCAAGATTTAATATATTATGGTTGTTTAAGAAATGCTTGTGAATGAATGAGCTTTATATAGCATAATAATTTTTCCACTGTCTTTGTAACTGTAAGTTTTAATGTCTGTATAGTAATCCACAAAATAGATGCAGCATAACTTACTTAACCATTTCCCTATAATTGGACATTTTATAATTTTTTAAGTAGTTTCTTCTAAATTAATAGTGCTGCAGTTAACATTTTTATGAATAGAACGAACCCCATCCCTCATATTTTGAGTGACTTCTGTGGGCTGAAATCATGTAAATGAGTATACTGTACTGGGTCTAGGGATTTAACAATTCATATAGTTCTTGATACATACGGCTTTTCAAAAAAGATTATACCAATTTACGTCATTAATGACAAATGAGGGTAGTTTCATCTTTAAGAGTTTTTTCAAACTTGTATCTGTGACTTTTGTTTTCTTGTTCTGGGTTTCTTTCAGATTCTTGTCTTTTACTTTGTACGATGTCTCCTGGCTTTTGTGAGCTGTATCTGTGAACTTTACTTTTATAAGTGAGTATAAAAGCTTTGCTTCTAAAAGTGCTGAGGAAGCCCAATATAGCTTAGATTATTTCTCTGATAGTGTAAGCAATGTTTAGGATAGAAAACATTTTCCTTCTAGCTCCTAATATTCCGAAATGTGACTTCTTTATTTTAAATTTTTTTCTAGCTTTATTGAGATATAGTTGACATACAACATTGTGTAAATTTGTGTACAACATAATGATTTGATACATATATATATTATGAAATGATTACCACGATAAGGTTGGTTAACACAGCCATCACATCACATCATAATTTTGTGTGTGGAGAGAACATTTAAGGTTTATTCTCATAACAACTTTCAAGTATATAATACAGTATTGTTAACTATAGTCATCATGCTGTGTATCAGATCCCCAAAATTCATTCATGCTGTACCCTTTGGCCAGCATCTCCAGGTTCCCCTGACCTGCCTCGGCCCCAGCCTTGGCAGCCCCCCTTTTACTCTTCTGTGTCCACAAGTTTGGCTTTTTTTAGATTCCTCATATAGTGAGATAATCCAGGATTTGTCTTTTTCTTTCTGGCATTTCAGTTAGCATAATGCCCTCAAGGTCCATGCAAATGGCAGGATTTTTTTCTTATTATGGCCGAATAATATTCTATTGTATATCTATATGTATGTATATAGACACACCCACCCCACATTTGCTTTATCCGTTCATCCATAGATGGACATTCAAGTTGTTTCCGTGTCTTGGCTATTTGAGTAATGCTGCAATGAACGTGGCGGCTGAGACGTCTCTGAGAGATTTCATGTCCTTTGGATGTTACCCAGAAGTGGGATTGTCAGATTATACAGTAGTTCTATTTTTAGTTGTTTGAAGAAAGAAGTGCCATTTCTTGTTTGAAATAAACCGTTGGAGAGTACTTCTATGTGCCAGTGTCTTTTCCTGAGGGGTTCATTAATACCATATCTTCATTTTATTAATTTTAGTTATGTTAATATATATCTAACTGGTATTCTACTTAGTAGGATTTAATAGAACCTTATTTATAGTCCCAAGATAGAGAAGCATTATTTACTTCCTCCCCTTGAGCTTAGATGATAAAAAGTTATTCCCAGTATGGGGCTCCCTGCTCTTATTTGTACCCAATATGTTGTCTTTCATCAAGAACTTATTGGTTGATTAAATTTGGTTAAAGTATTAAACATTTAAGTGGCCAGTAATAAGAATAGCCACATTTTTAAAATAAACCCTAACAAACATTATTTTAATAACTCTTTAAAAGGTATTTGGATGTAATCATCGTTATTAAAAATCTTCCTACTGCAAAACAGCTAAAAAACATTCTTTGGCCTTGAACTCTGGTTGGAGTGAAGGAGAAGAAAGAGACCCTGTGCTGTCTTTGCGGATTGTGACCTTAAATGGGTCTTCATAAGGGCTTAGGACGGATTCAAATCACCTACATGGTCCCCGAAACCCCAAGTTGAGAGTTTATTTTAAGTTGTTCTGGGTTGGTAGTACCCTCAGGCATCTTGCAAAAAAAAATGTAAAATTTCTCTAGAGAAGTGGATCTTTAACTTAGCTGTCAAAGAATTAACATAAAGCTCTAGTGAATAGGAAATTATAATAAAAATAATTTACAAAGCACAAAAGGGAACAAAACTATGAGTGAGACCTAGCAGAGATAACAACAGAAACTGACCTGCAAAACTTTGTTAGGAATTATTAAAATAAGAATATTTTTAAAGAAATGTAATATTTTAATTAAATATTACATTTAATATTTTTAAAGAAATTAATTGAAAGCATGAATAAGAATAGACTAAATAATACAGTGAAAAGTAACATACAGGATGAAAGAAAATATTTGCAAACCATAACTGGAAAACATAGAAGGAACTCCTACAACTCAATAGCAAAAAAGTGAATAATCTGATTAAAAAACAGACTAAGGACTTGGATAGACATTTCTTCAAAGAAGATTGTACATGACCAGTAGGTATATGAAAAGATGCTCAATGTCACTAATCATTCAGGAAAATGGGAAATCAAAACACAGTGAGTTAGCCCATCATACTTGTTCGAATGGCTATTATCAAAAAAAGAACATATGTTGGTGGAGCTGTAGAAAAATGGAACTCTAGCACACTGTTGGTGGGAATTCAAAATGACATAGCCACTGTGGAAAGCAATATGGAGGCTCTTCAAAAAACTAAAAATAAAACTGCCATATGATCCAGCAACACAACTTCTGGATGTTTATCTAAAAGAATTGAGTCAGGATCTCAAGGAGATGTCTGCGTTTCCATCTTCATTGCAGTGTTATTCACAGTAGCCAAGACTGGAAACAACCTAAATGTCTATTGATAGATGAATGGAAAAAGAAATGTGGTGTATACATACAACAGAATATTTTTTAGTCTTTAAAAAGGATGAAATCCTGCAATATGTTACAACATGCATAAACCTTGAGGAAATTATACTAAGTCATCTAACCAGTAACAGATGGACAAATGCTGCCTAGTGCCACTTACATGAGGCTCTAAAAGAATCAAACTCATAGAGCAAAGAACAGAATTGTGGTTGCCGGGGATGGGGGAGTGGGAACTTGCTAATCAGTGGGTATAAAATTTCACTTGTTTAAAATGAGTAAATTCTAGAGGTCTACTGTACAACATTGTGCCTATAGAAAACAGTAGTGTATTTTAACTTAAAAATATATTGAGGGTAGATCTCATTTTAAGTGTTCTTAATACAAAAAAGATTTTTAAAAAATGAGACTGTAAAAATTAGGCAAATTTGAAAAAACCAAACACAACTTCTGGAAATAAAAATATAATAATTGATATCTAAAACTCAGTGTCTAGTTTAAACAGCTGATATGGTAATGCCAACAAGTAAACCATTAGAATAGAAGATGGATCTGCAGAAATTACTGAGAATATAGTACAGAGTGATCCAAAAAAAAAAAAGGAAACATAAAAGAGGTGAAGAAATGTGTACAGTAGAGTTGAAAGATGTGATATATTCATCTAATCAGATTCCAGGAGATGAAAGAATGGGGAGAGGCAGTATTCAAGGAAGTAATAGCTGAGAATTTTCCAGAATTTATGACAAAAAAGATGTAATCCAAAGATTAAGGAAGTCTAACACATCCTGAGCTGGGTGAATAAAAAGGAACTAGTGAAACTGTGAACACCAAGGACCCAAAAATCTTAAAGTTAACAAGGAGCTAAGAGGGTACCTGCAAAGGAATGTTAGGCAGTTAGACTGACAGAAGCTTAAGCCAAAAGACAAAAAAAAAAAAGTCTTCACAGTGCCGAGAGAAAATAACTGTTTCTCTAATAACTGTCCTGTAATTGTGTCTTCAGCTAGACCATCTTTCAAGACCGAGAGTCATAATTTCCAGATAAAACATTAAAGGAGAAAAGAAAAAAAAACAAATAAAAAACAGAATTTGTCATTAACAGATCCTAACTAGAGGAACTTCTAAAGGATGTACTTAGGGAGAAGCAAAATTATGTCAGAAAGAAGACCGAGATGCTTTAAGGAACCTGAACAAGAAAATAGTTAATACGTGGATATGTCTGAGCGAATACTGACTGAATGAAGCAACAGTAATCTCTAATAGTGTTTAATTTATAGGGTGAAAAACAAACCTACAACAAAAGAGTAAAAGGGAGTTTGTCATTGCATAAGTCTGAGAAACACTGAACTAGATAAACCCCTATTGACACTTTGGTGTATCTTGGACTCTTTTTTTTTCTGATAACTACAACTTACTGTGGTTCTTAGCTGTGTGCGAGGCATTCTTCTAAGCACTCTTCCATACATTATCCTCACAGGAAACAGGACAAGGTAGGTTTTACTATCATTCTCATTTGACAGATGAGGAATCTTAACAGGTTTTGTAACTACATCAGGGTACCACTGCTAGTAAATGGCGGTGCCCGTCTGAATCTGAGACCTGTTATTTTTCTACTGTATCATGCTGCTTTCCTACTGATAGTAGATAATCTTAGCACAGAAAGTATACATTTCCTCTCTGGTAGAGAGCTTTTCTTCTGCATAAGGATTAAGAATGTTTGGTTTTTTTGTGCATATGAAATTGCTAACAAACTTGTCTAGACAGTTCTCTATTTGACTTTAGATCTTCAGCATTCTCTGTAATGCAGACATGTTTTGGTCCTTTGATTTGAAATGTCTGGATCTAAGATTTGCTATGCTGATAGTCTTTGCTTTTCTCCCAGGGCTGTGTGCAAGAAGTTTGGGCTGCATGTGAGTCGAATGATGCTAGCCTTCTTGGTTCTCAGCACTGGCATGTTTTGTTCATCCTCAGGTGAGTGAAAGGGCAGTTGTGGGTATAATAGGTCCTCTGATATTTCACAGTTACATTGAGAGGAAGAACATGTCTAGATGTCTGTTATATTTGTATAGTATGTCAGTAATTTGTAGAGCATTGTTACTTGCATGGTCTCAGTTGACCTTTGAAACAATCCTATGGTTTTGTTAGTGAGATATTAACTATCTTATTAACAAAATTAGATTTTCTCATTTTGCAGGTGAGGATACTGAAACCTAGAAAAGTAAAATGGCTTACTGAATCTCAAAGAATTCACAACTGGCATGGCTGTAATTTTCATCAGGTTGCTTTCTGTTACATTATTGTATTTTTATCTGGCAATGCTGAAAAACGTAAGCACCCCCGCCTTTTCTTACTGTTAAAGGAAGGGAAATTATTTTGTTACTTTGCTTATGGAAACTCTTTGTGCTTAAAAACCCTGTTCTTGATGGTTCTACTTTCTGCCCATTATCTGCAGTGTATTCTATGAAGATACACATCATCTGGTGGGCTTTTTTACAGTAAGCATTTAGAAAATTAGAATAAAAACTGTAGTCTAAAGTGGTGGCTTTCAACTTGCACTGCCATTGAACATTTGTGTTACAAGCTAAGCCAAGGTGGCCAGCTGCTGAAGGGCAACCTGTTCCCAACTGTCCAGAAAAATTAACTTACTAGATAATAATAGTCTCAACTTTAGTTTCTGTTTGTGTATACCAGAACTAGTATACACACTATACACAAAATACAGTATCCAGCACAAAAGTATATATTTACTTTTCTTTGTGACTGTATAAAAATCCAGTCTGTTGTTCTGCAGAGACCTCAGCTCTGCACCTGAATAACTTTGAAAACCACTGTCCTAAATGAGACTGTGCTCTTCTCTCTGATCCGGCAGAGACCTGAGATTCCTCTGCTCCCTCTATCCTCTGCCTGGGCAGCTGGAACCGACAGCTTGGAAGACATCAACATTATTTAGCATTTATCTTGAAGGTTGTGCTTCACATGTTTATTTTACTTGGCTATTCTTAAAAGTGATTCTTATGTGAGGGAGGCAGTTTAGTTTTGTAATCTCAGTTGAGTGTATGTTAAGGCACAGATGAGTTAAAGGCATCCTTTGATGCAGAGCCTCTGAACCCCTTGCTGAGTTTCTTATATCATATCACCTGTAAATTGTGGCTCTTACTGGAATTGGTACTGATTTTTCATTCCTAGTGCTAGGTGAAGCACACCTCATGCAGTTTGAAGAGGCAAGTCTGCATTTTAACTTAGAATTATTAGGAACATTTTGATCAAATGTTATGGTTGCAGAGACCCTGAAAGCACTCAGTCTTCTGCTGTACACAACAGAGTGATGCTGGATGGAAGTAATTAGGGAACATCTAAAGGCCAAACCATGTATGTCAATGGATGCAGGATGCAGAGTGGTGCTGTCATCCAACATTTGGCCCTTAAGCAGGCTTCCTAGAGTTCTTACAGGGTAAAGGTTAGTGCCAGAGCCATCTCAGGGACTGTCGAGATACACTTCTTCAGAAACAGATGGTTGGCAGTGGCCCTAGTGGCCTCAAGTTTCTTGAAGCATATTCCGTGCCTGGAAATAGGACCAGGGGGCATTCCTGGGGCACCTGGAATTCCGTGAGTTTTAGATTTGGGGTACAGGCCATGAGAGGAATGGAATGGTTGGTATTATATAATTGGATGATGTGTCTGTACCTAAAAAACAGAAGTGAGAAAATAAGAAAACCATTTAACTTTTTAAATTACTGCCCATTTCTTATAAAACATTGCTCAAATATGTTCCTGATCATTGACATGTTGCACTGTAGGTATGTTTTTAGTAATTTATATCTAATAAATCCTGTACTCTTACCCTTTCCCCCTTTGTTTCCATTTCTTTGCTCTCCCAGCATTCCTCCCTAGCAGCTTCTGTATGTACACCACCCTGATTGCCATGGCTGGCTGGTACATGGACAAGACTTCCATCGCCGTGCTGGGAGCAGCCGCTGGGGCGATCATAGGCTGGCCATTCAGTGCTGCACTTGGGTAAGAAGCTAGGAGTTTGTCTTCCTTGGATCACTGGGCAGACAGTAAGTCTTAATGTTATCTTCATATTCTATGAATAGGACCTAAAGTTAATTGGACCTGAAACATATTTCTCTTCCTGCTTATTGTTATGATGAATTCTAATAAAAATCACGATGGTTTAGCATTGCTGTGTATTGGGCAAACCAGGCCCCTCTAAACCTTATAACTTTGCAGGAGAGATGCAGTTATTAGTGCTTGATAAATGGGAAAGTAGACTCCAAGAGGCTGAGTAATTTGCCTTTAAGATTATGTTTGCTTTTGGATGCAGGCCTTTCTGACTCTACAGTTGATGTTTTTTCCACACTACACCACCTGTGCATTTTACCGTTCGTCTAGGCTTGAAACCTGAGTTTCCTCTCAACCCTCCTCCTTTCTTGTCCTAGCATCTTGTTCTCCAGGTCCCATGTCGTCTCTCATTCCTTTTGTATTCTTTGTTCTCATCACTTCTGCTCTAATTCGTGCTGCCTTAAATTCCTGCCTGTAGCACTAGTAATTTAGAAAAATATTTTAGTTTGATAAGTTACTATAGTAGTAGTACATATCTTTATTACTAAAACAAGTACCAGATTGTATGAGGCCAGAAGAATTCTTAATTCTTTTTCGCCTAGCCAGTAGTCACCGCTAATAGTTTTGTGTATATCTTTCAAGAAACCCTTGTGAGATAAATGCACACACACATGCATATACCTACATATATACACAGATACTTAAGTTCTTAAATAGAATTATACTGTACATGCGTACATCTGTGGTATACAGATGTATATAATTCTTTGTGTCACTTGCATAGCATTCTGTTTTCTGGCTGCCATAATTTATTTAGACATTATCTAATTGGTAGACATTTGGTTTTCAGTTTTTTGCTGTCATATACAATGCTTATGACTTTTGTATATGTCTCTATACACTTGTGGAAATTTATGTAGTAAATTTATAGAAGTGGAGTTACTAAGCCAGAAGATAGGCATTTTAAATTTTCTTAATTGTCTTTTAAAGGCTGGTTTCCCCACCTCCAGTATTTTCTTCTATTCTATCCTGCATATTATCTTCACATTATCATATACTTCAAGCGTTTGTGTGAGGCATCTTCCGTACTTTCCACTCTCTCTTAACCATCTTAATCATTCCATTTCTTTATATCTAGTCCAATCATCTCTAGAACTTCACTCATGTATTCCTAGCTGCCTGTTAGGTGCCCCCATTTGTATAGGTAAATATTTACAAAACTGAACTCATTACCTTCTCTCCATATCTATTCCTTTACCTATGTTTCTGTCCTAGTAAATTGGTACCACATCTACTCATTGCTTAGTAACCTGAAAATTGTAGATAACACTCAAACTAAAGTTATCTTCTTAAAATGTAAATATGACTGTATCACTCCCTGTTTTGTTTCAGTCTCTGTAACAGCTTCTCCAATGCTCTGTGTCACAGAGGTTGGCAACCTGTGGCCAAATAGTGCTGGTCTGTTTTTGTACAGCCCAAGAGCTAAGAAGTTTTTGCATTTTTAAAGTGTTATTAAAAAATAATAACCTACACACATGCACTCAAAATAATATACACCAGAGACCATATGTGGTTTGCAAAGTTGAAAATATATACACTCAGGTCCTTCAAATAAAAAGTTTGCCAACCTTTGCTTCATGGTGTCCAGACTCTGACGTGACTCACAGAGCCCTAGGCCTCCCTCTTTGCCTCTCCGGCCTCCTTTTGTCGGTTCCCTCATTCCTTTCAATCTTCACTTCATCTGCACTGAACTTCGGGTTCTCCCCGAATACTTCTGGGTGGCATGTTTTGATTGGTCTGCGTTTAGCTGAGGAAAGTGATTTCAGGATCACAGTGAGTCATTTAACATTCTACCATCATTTGTTCATACGGTATGCTAGGAACTGCTCCTGTTGTGATAAATAAGACAGTTATGGCTCCTGCTCTTGTGGAGCTTGCATTTGAGTAGGAGAGACAGACATTGAACAAGTAACTAAAAGTATGATGGCTTATCAGAGAAATTACAGGTGCTATGGAAATTTAACTATTGGAGAGACAACACATGAAAAGAAAATGTTAATGCAAAATTTAGATAATAGAATGTGGGAGTTCAAATCATAGGAGATGTCCTGTGATAGCTAAGGAAGTGATAGAGTTGATATGCCATATAAATTCAGAGGTGGGAGACATTGAGTCTTCAAGGTTGTGGGGGAGGCAGAGGCAGAGTCTGTCGTCGGCACCTGGTGGATTCTGTGTAAACACGCTGGTGTGGAGAGGGAGTCGTTTGTGACTGGAGCATGTAGGGCCTCTGACTGCTCTCGTAGGTTTGGAAGTCATGGATAAGGTGATGGTCCATGCAACGAAAGTGGAAGCACCTGGTGAGAAGGTGCGTGTAGAGAGAGAAGAGTAGAAGTCTTCTTTTGGGAGATACGACCATTGTAGGACGCTGCCGTGGAGTAGGGGGAGAAAGGGGCCTAGAAAGGAGCACCAGGGAAGCTGGAAAACAGGAGCGAAGGAGTCTAAAGAGGAAGGAACAGATGCTCTGTGTCAAGTGCAGTGGGAAAACAAAGGGCTGTGAAGCTGTGAAGAGATACTGGTCTGGCTGAGAGGAGGTTCCCTTTGACCTCGGGTCAGTGTTACTCGCTTGATGCAGGGCCTTAAGGGAGAAGTAGTAATGGTGGCATGTACATGTCACTAGCTCAAGGAATTTAAGTGAAAAACAGAGCAAATGCTGTTGGAAAGGGGGATCTCTCAGAACAGAAGTCAGAGTTTGTAATACCATCAACATCTTAATAAGTTATGGAAAGGAGAGATCAGCATTCATTTGGCAGGGTAGGTGTGGGACAGTAGAGTACATTTATTTATAATTAATGTATTTTGAATGCCCATTACTTGAAAGTATATATAAGATGGTGCTCCTTCTATTTAAGCTCAGGATTTATATTTCTTGTGCATAATGGGATGCATAGCACTCTTATGGGTCCTGTGAAGAGATCAGTATTTTTTTTTATTAAGGTATCATTGATATACACTCTTACGAAGATTTCACAAGAAAAACAATGTGGTTATTATGTTCACCCTTATTATCGAGTCCCCCCCATACCCCATTGCAGTCACTGTCCATCAGTGTAATAAAATGCCACAGAATCCCTATTTGTCTTCTCTGATCTACACTGTCTTCCCTGTGATCCCTTCCACACCATGTGCACCAATCATGATGCCCCACAATCCCCTTCTCCCTCCCTCTCCACCTGCCCTCCCCCACCCCTCCTCTTTGGTAACAGCTAGTCCCTTCTTGTTGTCTGTGAGTCTTCTGCTATTTTGTTCCTTCGGTTTTACTTCGTTGTTATACTCCACAAATGAGGGAAATCATTTGGTATTTATCTTTCTCTGCCTGACTTATTTCACTGAGCATAATACCCTCTAGCTCCATCCATGTTGTTGCAAATGGTAGAATTTGTTTCTTTCTTATTGCTGAATAGTATTCCATTGTGTATATGTACCACATCTTTATCTATTCATCTACTGATGGACACTTAGGTTGCTTCCATAACTGGGCTATTGTAAATATTGCTGCGATAAACATAGGGGTGCATATGTCTTTTTGAATCTGCGAAGTTGTTTTCTTTGGGTAAATTCCTAGTAGTAGAGTTCCCAGGTCAAATGGTATTTCTATTTTTAGTTTTTTAGGAGCCTCCATACTCCTTTCCACAATGGCTGAACTAGTTCACATTCCCACTAGCAGTGTAGGAGGGCTCCCCTTTCTCCACATCCTCGCCAGCATTTGTTGTTCCCAATCTTTTCTATGTCGGCCATCCTGACTGGTGTGAGGTGATATAAGAGATCAGTATATTTTTGAGAAGACATCTCTCCACGTACCAGCTTTCTTCCCTTGCTTTTACTGCTAGAGACATTTGTTTTCTCAGTTCAGCATGAGGTTTGTATGAATCCGATCTGTTTGAGTCTGTGTTCTCTCTGTTATGTTTAACTCCTCACTTTCTGTTGCTCTGTTAAACAGTTTACCTATTGCCTTTGATTTCCTTGTCATGAAACGCAGATGGAAGAGCCTCTTTCATTGGTCACTGGTGGCCCTGATACTCTTTCTGGTGAGTTTTCTTTTTCTCTTGTTTTGTTCTGAAGTTTTAATGAAAAATTTTGATGTGGGAAAGAGAACATTAAGACCTAATTCAGGTTTTCATTCTGAAGTTTATATTGTTAGCATTGGAAGAATGTTTTTCCAGAGTGAAACTCAATTGCGATGTATTTTCTGCTCTGTTTTAGGTGCCAGTGGTGGTCATTGACAGCTACTATTATGGAAAGTTGGTGGTCACACCACTCAACATTGTTTTGTATAATGTTTTTACGCCTCATGGACCTGATCTTTATGGTAAGGCCATAATGAAATTTGGGGAATGGTTAGGAGATAGTGTAATGTGTCTGAGCTTCAGTAGTTTAATTCAGTTGCCTCATGTTATCAAATATAGCATTTCTTTGTTGGTAATCTTTTTATTTAAAAATAAACAGCATTTGAATGGAGCACAGTGATGATAAGTAGCCACCAAGCATTCCTCCTGGATTGACATGATAGTCAGATGCGGTTCGCCATTAGGTTTCTCTGTCACTCTCGGTCTCGTAGTATTAGGGACTGTCGTGTATGCCATAGCTTTTCATCCTACTCTTTGTAATTAAAAGTCACTTTTCTCTCTTCTCATTAAAAGTTCATTATGATAACAAAAACAAGGAAATTACAGCATTCATAATCATACCACTTCCAAATAGCTGTTGTTAACTTCTTGGAGTATATTCCTCCAGACGTTTTTTTATACAGGCATACTGCAGAGATTTGCAGGTTCAGTTCCAGACCACGGCAATGCAGCGAATATCACAGGAAAGCGAGGCAAATGAATTTTCTGGTTTCCCAATGCAGACACAAGTTACGTTTACACTGTACTATAGTCTGTTAAGTGTGCAACAGCAGTATTTCTAAGCAAACAATGTGCATACCTTAATTAAAAAATATTTTACTGCTAAAAAATGTTAACCATCATTTGAGCTTTCAGTGAGTCATCATCCTTTTTCTGGGGAGGACCTTGCCCGGGTGGGTGCTGGTTCGCCACGGTGATGGTCGCTGCACGGCGGGGTGGCCGCGGCAAGTCCTTAAAATAAGACAACTGAGGTTTGCTGCATCGACTGACTCTCCCTTTCATGAACGATGTTTCTGCAGCATGTGATGCTGTTTAATAGCATTTTACCCACAGTAAAACTCCTTTCACAGCTGGAGTCTGCACAAACCCTGCACTGCTTTATTAACTAAGTTTGTGTAAAATTCTCAATCCTTTGTCGTCATTTCAACAGTCTTCGCCAGGAGTAGATTCCATCTCAAGAACCCCGTTTCTTTGCTCACACGTAAGCAGCAACTCCTCATTGTTCCAAGTTTTATCATGGGATTGCAACCAATTCAGTCACATCTTCAGGCCCCACTTCTAATTCTAGCTCTCTTGCTGTTTCCACCACATCTGCAATGACTTCCTCCACTGACGTCTGGAACCCTTCAAAGTCATCCATGAGGGTTGGGATCACTTTCTTCCAAACTCCAGTTAATGTTCATATTTTGACCTCTTCTCGGAATCACAAATGTTCTAAGTAGCACCTAAACTGTGAATCCTTTCCAGAAGGTTTTCAGTTTACTTTGTCCACATCCACCGGAGGAATCTATCTATGGCACCTATAGCCTTACAAAGTGTATTTGGAAGCTGAAATTACTCTTTGTCCATGGGCAGCAGAGTGGCTGTTGTGTTAGCAGGCATGAAAACGACACTGACCTCATTGTCCATCCGCATCAGAGCTCTTGGGTGAGCAGGTGCTTTGTCAATGAGCAATAATATTTTGAAAAGAGTCTTTTTTTCTGAGCAGCAGATCTCAGCAGTGGGTTTAAAATACTCAGTAAACCATGTTGTAAACAGCTGTGCTGTCACCCAGGCTTTGTTGCTGCATTTGGAGAGCACAGGCACGGTAGATGGAGCATCGTTCTTAAGGGCTCTGGCAGTTTCAGAATGGTCAGTGAGCACTTGAAGGCTTCCACTTGAAGTCACCAGCTGTGTCAGCCCCTAACAAGAGGGTCGGCCTTTGGAGCTTTGAAGCCAGGCACTGACCTCCCCTCTCTAGCTGTGAAAGTCCCAGATGAGGCTGTTTTGTGAAAATCTGTTGTTCAGTGTAGCCACCTTCATGAATGATCTCAGCCAGATCTGGGTGACTTGCAGCTTCTCCATCAGCACCTGCTGCTGCACCTGTACTTTTCTGTCACGGCAATGGCTCTTCCCTTAAACTTCAGAACCAACCTCCGCTAGCTTCAGACTTCTCTTCTGCAGCTTCTTCCTCTCTCTAAGATGTACAGAATTGAAGAGAGTCGGGGCCTTGCTCTGGATGAGGCTTTGGCTTAAGGGAATGTTGTGGCTGGTTTGACCCACCCAGACTACTCACACTTTCTCCACATCAGCAGTAAGGCTGTCTTGCTTTCTTATTCATGTGTTCACTAGAGGAGCACTTTTAATTTCCTTCAAGAACTTTTTCTAAGCATTCATAACTCAGCTGTTTGGCACAGGAGGCCTAACTTTTGAATCAAAGTGAGAGACACATGACTCCTCCTCTCACTTGAACACTTGGAGGCCCTGCAGGGTTATTCACCGGCCTAGGTTCAGTGTTGTGTCTCAGGGATTAGGGAGGCCCGAGGAGAGGGATAGATGCAGTGGAGCAAAACACACAGATTTATTGATTAAGTGGCTGTCTTTAATGGGTGTGGTTTGTGGTGCCCCAAATAATTACAGTGGTAACATCCAAGGTCATTGGTCACAGACACCATAACAAATATAATGCTGACGACAAGGTCTGAAATACTGTGGGAATTACCAAACTGTGACACAAAGACACAAAGTGAGCAAATGCTGTTGGGAAAATGGCACCAGTAGACCTACTCTATGCATTTTTACCACAGATCAATTTGTAAAAATGCAGTGTCTGTGAGGTGCCGTAAAGGGAAGTATAATAAAATGATGTCTGCCTGTACATGTATGCATTTGGTATTACTTTTTCTTGTTAAAATTTGCATTACTTAGTATCAAGCATTAGGGCAGGAAGTTTGGAAAAATGTATAGATAAAGCTTAGCAGAAGGGGTCAGCATGAGAGGGTGGGTAGTTTGCCCAATGTAGAGTTAAGAGAAAAAAAAATGGAATGCCTTTAGTCTGGAAATGCATTCTCCATTCCTCCCTTAATGCCTTTCTTTCAGCCAGCTGTGGAGCCTGTTTATTTGGCCCCTGAGAGAATTTGAGTTTGTGACAGCTACAGAGGAATGAGCTAGAGATCTTTCTGATTAGATCAGCCAAGTCAGCAAACATTTTGTGAGACAACTTTCATTAAAGTAAGTGTAGTTTTTTCAGTCTGAATCTTTTGAAGGTCTTAGGGGATTCTGTATACGTGACTGTCTTGAGGCTCTGCTACAAAGCAGGTTAATATTATCTCTGTCTCTCACCAATTTAAGCCATGCCCATCACTTTTCTGTGCCTCTTTTTCAATAGAACCAGCAGATTGAATGAAGACATTTAAAATAAGCATATGAATGAGATTTAATTGGGCCTCCTAGGATTTGGGGAATATTGTTATTTTAGATGAAAAGTAATAGGTTAAAATAAAGTGTTTGTTCAGTGAATTGAATCACAAACTGCCTGGTTAGAGGTAAATGCTAAGTGAAGGAATTTTAAAAGGCTGCTTCTTTATGGCTCTAAGATCCCAACAGGGGTGTGAGAAAAAGCCCCAATTTTTAGCTTTTGCCTCCAGATGGCTCCCTTTAGCTAGGGAGAGTTTGCATGTTTTTAATTGCCCCCTTGTTTTAGTTTATTTGTAAAATTATTTTGATTCTACAAGACAGTATAAGGGACACTCTCTTCTTAGACCTAGATTGCACATTAGAGATTGATTTCAATGGGATCTGTTGGAAGTATAATATCCATTATGTATAGATGAATAAATTCTGTTAATTTGAGTTTAATTTTGAAAAGTTGGCTTCTCCACTTTTTTAAATGGGTTTTTACATAATTGATATTCTGACTGCTTATTTATAAAACTTTGTGTGGGAGTATATGAAAGTTACATGTATTTTTTGAAGTCCTCTAGATTAATAAAGTCTGTAAATCCAGAAATAAGCAGGTTGTTAAGGAGAATAATGAAGAAAGAATGAATTCTGATTTAAGCTTATATTTCTTGCTTAATGGTGGGTGGCTCGGGAACACCTGTGGCAGGTTTTGGGATCCAGCAGAGGAGGCCAGTGTCTTGCTGGACGTTGGCATCTGCTGTCCACGTCAGCTTGTGTTTCCTGGGAAGAGTCCTTAGGGCTCTGGTCTGCTTGCTTCAACGAACCTGGGGAACCTTCAGTTCATATTTTGCTATTGTGGATGAACAGGAACTGATCAGTTTTCCTAGTGGGAGAAAAGGCTTCGGTGGGATGCAGGAAATTGTCAAGCTGGGTGTTCCCAGAACTATGCAGTGCTGTCATCACCAGACTTCCCACAGCTGTTCCTTTATGGTAGAATTTGTGTGTTTATCTCATCTTTGAATTTAATGATGTGTGTTGCAGGGTCTGATTTCTGCCCTTTTAAAGAGTGTTGACTCCTTTTTGCTTTGACAGGCCTGCAGAGAGAATAATATTCTTCCATCCTGGGAATAGGTATTCCTTGTCTGTTCTAGGTCTTCTGTGAAGATTTGTCAAGAAGGGATGAATGGGTGAACAAATTCTGGAGTATTGATCAGATTACATTAGTGCCCTGACCAGTATTATGTCCTAGAAGTATTTGATTAGACCTGTTGTATTGTACTAGGTTGGGATTTTCTTGACACTAAATAAGAACATGAGAGGCAAAAGTTCTTTTTAAACTTAAAAGTGCTTTGTGGTTGTCAGCTGATTTTATTATAATTGGTGAATCCACTTGGTAAACATGGAGGATGCACCTTTTAATAGCTGCTTTGACGTGGCACAGTTGTGCAGTGAGACAGCATGTCCTTTGCCAGGGAGCTCAAGCCCGCTCTCCTCCCTCACACGCTCGGCACTAGTTGGCATGTTCTAACTGTTTCGTAAGAGTCTCCCGCTCCACGGGCCTCACTAGCTGTGGTAGGCATATGGCTTCTTGATTTGAAAATTAAAAATGCATTGTGTTGATAGTTTTTGGACACATCTCTTAGTGCTGTTTTTATATATAAGAACACAGAAAGCCTGTAAATACCTCTTGAATGAATGGATAAGTGGACTTTGGTGAGAGAAACACTGAATAAATTGCTTTTGAGCCTATATCATGTGTCCTCATAGAACCTGCTCTGATGAGGCTACAGACGCATAAACAGATAATACAGTCCCACGTATGATGTGCCACAGTGGGAAGATAGAGCATCACAGGAGCAGGTCCATCTGCTGGTGTCAGGGAGGAGTTGGAAGTGGTGGTCCTCGAGCTGAGCCTGGAAGGAAACGGAGGCGTTTGCCGAGTAGACCCTAGAGGGGTGCGTTTCAGGCAAATAGAATGTCAAACGTGGTACTGCTGAGCCAAAAAAAAAAAGAATAAATATGATTTCTTTTTTGAAAACTTAAAGTAGTTTGACAGCATCAGCTGAATTTTAGGCAGAAACTACATAGGCATCAGCAAGATAAACTCAGTATCTCCATTGTGACTGTAATAAATGCCAAGTATTTACTCTCTTGTTCCTGGTGTTCAAAGGGACCTGTGTACTTTCTTGGCCAGATTATATTTAATGACACATTCTAGACCTGAGCCGACTCATCTTTTGAAGCCAGGGAAAAGTGATGAAGTACTTTTTCACAACTGTAATTAAAATAGGTTCTGTTTATTGAATGTCTGGTATATCAGACATTTTACACATAATGACATCTTCCCATCACAAAACCTCTGAGATAGGTCCTTATTCCCAATAGTGGTGGAAGTGGGACATGAGCTCAGGGTCGTCTGACTCAAAAGCCTGTGTTCTCTCCACTGAAAACAACCTTAGCACAGCCCTGGAACGCGGCTGTCTGGACTCTACAGGAGACTAAACTTGCCAAGATAGAGCATGAGTCGGAGGAGGAGATCAGGTCCTGTCCCCAGAATGGAGGGGAAGCTGGGCCTTCGAAGGTCTGGGGCAGCGCGGCCGGGGAGCTCCAGTAGCTGTAGAACACGCATGCGGAGGGCTCTCTTCCACAGGGATCCCTGTGCAGACCCATGTCAAAGGAAGAAGCAATGTCTGGGTGACCTAAAGAACACTGGGCATTTAGGAAACTTAAGAGTAATGTAGGCAAAAAACTGCAGAGTGGTTGGCAAAACATCTCTGTGGGATCAGAGATCAAGGGGTGAAATTTAGTGTTGCAACAAAGAGAGCGACTGGTTTTGGCACTGATTTTTGCCTCTGAGCCTTGTAACATTTCAAGTTCTGAAATGTTGAGGTTGGTATGTATTTTTCTGTAGTGAGTGAGGAATGGTGCTTCCTGATGAGGAGCACACAGGCCTGGGGAGGGCACGGAGGACAGGTATAAGGAACACTCTTCCCTTAAAAATAGTGTGTTGCTCAAGGATGCCACTTCTTACCTTAGGACATGACCCCTGCCTGTTTCGGGTCTTATCGACATCATTTCAGAAGGCAAAGGCGAAGTCCACAGGCCCACAGTTTCCCATTCCACCAGCAGCAGAAGACGGAGCCCCGGCGGAGTCTTCTGAGGCCGGCTCAGAGCTGACCACCAGCGGAGCTGCCGGAGCCTTCGCTCTTCTGTTAATCATCTTTGTTGGGCCTTGGTAGCTTTTCCCTCTTGATGGTACAAAGTTGACATTCATAAGGATGATTTACCATAATTTAGTTCCTACAGGTCTGTAAAATTACAGGCCTATAAAAGGGCCCACCTCCATTCAGTCTATGGAACAGTAAACATTATCCCTTCTTTTAGCCTGTTTCAAAGCTTCCTTAGCTTATTTGAATGAAAAGAATTCAGACATCTCCCTAAAGAGGAGATTGTTGAGCCACTCAGTGCAGAAACCCTGCTTCCGGCTTGCTTTCACTGTACCTTTGCACTAGGTAGATGCTTCACTTGTCATCCTGACACATTTTTTTCTGCATAGTTCAGCTTTGATATTCTGAGCAGTAGCATCAACTGTCTCCCTGGAAAGAGATAAAAGTGTTTACTACTTTTTCTTTCAAGGCAGATGTCTTCATGTAGGGGAGAATGCTGGCTGACAAAATTCATTATTTTTGTCTCCTTTTGCCCTTGTTTTTAAGACTGTTGTCACTTGAACCTTCCCCACTCTTGTCTTATTCCCCTGTTTTTGCCTCATCCTTCCGGGAAGTAACGGTCTATCATGGAATGTTCACAGCCTCATTGTAAACTTGATCTGTGAGCTTCTAATACATACAAATAATCGAGTTTACTACCTAATACTTTTGGTTCCATATCCCAGAGTACAGTGTATCTAGGTAAAAAGACAGCCAGCCCTAACGGGGGTGTAGCAAGTTGTGGTAGAGACAAATGTTCGCTAGAATGTAAAGAGCTTCCCCCTCCAAAACAATAAATATTTGCCAGGTTCAGAAAGAAAGAGGCTTTTTCTGTTGATGCTTAGCATCGTAAAAGATGATGTAAGATGACCCCCTTCCTCTCTGGTCCTTTGTCTTTTCTTCTGAGCCTTGGGTTTGCAGAATTTGTTAAGGAAAAAGATGGGTCAAGGTTGAAAGTGCTGCCTCCACGCTGGCAGGTAGGAGAGCTCTGTGCAAAAACTTAGCTCTCAGGAAACTGGACTCCTGAAGGACTCAGTTTAGGAGGTGTGTTGTGAACTACTAATAAAGTCCAGAGGAGATACATGTTTCTGTTTTGAATAAAAAAGCAGCCATTAGTTTCTATAACCCAAAAGGTGTTTGTCAAAAGTACAAGGTGTGAATGTCTGTATTGGACTTGGCCTTGGTAGGTCCTCTGCTCCAGAACAGTCCCAGTCATTGTATTTAGAGAAGGAGTAAGCGTTCCCAAAAGGTGACCCGCAGTTGAACTTGAGTCCTTCCTTAGGACACTCCTCTCCCCCTTCCTCCTCCCCTCAGTGTTTCTCCAGCCTTACCGGTTTGGTTTCTAATCTTATTTTGCTGTGTAAGCTGCAAAAATGTCAGGTTCTCTGACTGTTCCTCTGCCTTCTGATTACCCTTTTAAGCAATGCTGATTGCAGGAAATTGCTGTGGTGCAAGGCGAGTGTCAAAACACACAGTCATTAAAACCCCCGTGTATCATTCATGGCCTGATTGAAGCAATCACAGAGGGGAGAGTGGATGGAAGCCTGCTAACTGTGCAAGGGGGTTGTTTCTCATCATTTGGGTTTAGGAGTTTTGAGTTAAAGGATCGAAACTAGTGTAAGTTAGGCTTGTGTTGTCAGTCATTTTGTTTCATTCTGAATTCTCAAAACTTCTGAGTGGGGTCTGGGTTTCTGAACACTGCTTTCCTAAGGAAACAAAGTTGTTGTTTCTGTTAAACACAAGGTTCCCTGCATACATGACTACAGAATAGTGGTTAATCATATCAAGGGGAAAGATACTAGGATGTAAAATAAGATAAACACATGGGAAGAAAACGGGAAAGTCCTCAATAGCTCAGTCCTACAAGAATGCCTATTCCCTCTACAAACCCTACAGGTGCTGGTTGTCACCTGTGCTTCTGACCAGCCGGCTACAGATCGAAAGTTCCTCAGCCCCCTCCTCGGGTTCAGTTAATTTGCTGGAGTGGCTCACAGAACTTAGAGAAGCATTTACTTACACTTAACGTTTACTATGAAGGATATTATGAAGGATACAGTGGATCTCCAGGCGGAAGAGCTGCATAGGGCAGGGTGTGTGGGAAGGGGTCTTGGGGCTTTTGTGCTCTTTGGTCATGCCACACCCCCGACAGCCATTATGTGTTCACCAGCCTGGAAGCTCTTTAAGTCCCAACATTTTCAGTTTTTGTGAAGGTTTCCATTAACTTGGGCATGATTGATTAAATCATTGGCCATTGATGATTTACTATTGCCAGCCCCCAGCCCTTCCTCATGGGGTTTTCAGTCCCAGGTCTCATCCTTAGGGTATCTAGGGTCCCTAATTTACATAACAAGACACCTTGATCTCTCACTTAGGAAATTCCCAGGGTTTTAGGAGCTCTACCAGGAACGGTGATGAAGACTAAATGTATTTGTTACTATAAATTACAATATCACCACTATGCTATTTAAATTATTTGGTTGTTCCGAAAAAGTATTAGTTCCATATGGGCATGTTAATTTGGAATAGACGTAGTGGTCAGTATAGACAATACAGCTAAATATATGGAAAAAAACTCAATATCCATCTAAACCAATCCTGTTTTCTTGTCATCCTCTGCTCCTGGGCTTCCCACGTATGGCTGAGCAAGGAAAGAGAGTGGCTTTTGGACTTGTTCACCTGGGGCATCGGGTCATCAGCACCACCTGGACACAGAGCAGCGTGAGGCCTGCACCATCAGCAGCATCCTCTCCTCTCGTCATTTCTTACCTCCCTGTTTCCTCAGGTACAGAGCCCTGGCATTTCTATCTGATTAACGGATTTCTGAATTTTAACGTGGCCTTCGCCTTGGCCCTCCTGGCCTTACCCTTGACCTCTCTCATGGAGCGCCTGCTGCAGAGATTTCACGGTGAGCGGCATGAGGGGTGATGGGCTTTTTTTGGGTGGGAAGAGCAAGTAAGAGTGTATACCAAGAGGTGAAAAAGAAGATTTGGTTAATAATTCTAAATTAGATTGACAGGGAGAGGAGCTTTATATCCCTTCAAGTGAGGAAGTTATAACCTACAGAAACATCTGGGGAGGCAGAAACATTTACAAAATCTCAGAGGATAGGCCTATTTGCATCTTCTATGTTTAAAGAAGTGTTTTGTTACCATGGTAGATTGCTTAGGATAATTAATGCTAGAGACACACACTCTTCGGGAAATTATTTCAACCAAAAATTTGAGAACTAAACCATATAGGGATTTCCCAGACCTGGCATGAAGGCAGAAGCTTTGGACTTCCTGAGAAGCGCGGTGCTTCCCTGTTGCCTTTTGCTTCTGTGTCTGCCTCACTGCGGAAGCTCCAGTCTGCCGTTTCCTTGGTGTGCCCTGGTTCCTTCCCGCACAGCCTGCAGGTCCCAGTGTGTCATGGCTCTGGCTGTCTAGTGCCGATGGGTCCCTTTATGGGAGACAGATTTGAGCAGAGATTCCTGTGTGCTTTGGAAAGAGGTTGAATTTCAGACTTTTCATTCTGATTTGGATACCATATGATCCTTCCACCCCACCCCTCCCTCTGCTTTCCTACTATTAATGGTTTATAAAGAATTCACTTGTGTTATAATTTTAGAATATGAAAGCAGCCTTCAGAGTCATTTTGTTTTAACATAACCATAATGCATATGTCTTAACAAAATTAACAGTAATTCCTAAATATCATCTAATACCCAGTTGGTATTCAGATTTCCTATGTTGTCTGAAAAACTTTTTACAGATGGTTTGTTTAAAGAGGATCTGAGCAAGGATCAAACATTGAATTCTTTGTTCATGTTTCTTGAGCTTTTTAAGAGGTTTCACCTCCTACCTTTCTTGTCCTGAGAACTTCTAAGGAAACCAAGGCATTGATCTTGCCCAGTGCCCCCCCATTTGGATTCAGCTGTTGGTTCCCTTAGGGGTTAACTTACTCCTCCGTCCTTCCTTGTGTTTCTTAAGGGTCACTTTTTCTTTTTTTGGAAAGTAACTTTTTTTCTTTACTATAAGAATAATTTATACTTGTAGAACATTTGGAAATGCTTGTCCTGTAAGTTTAAAAACAGCATTTAAGTTCTCTATAGTATCATACAATTGTGTCTTAAAAATGTGTAATGTACACACATGTTCACCTAGTGAGAAAATGAATGCTTTCTGTTTTTTCTTTATACTTTTGATGTATTTTAGAAAGAATACTTTTTTAAAAGAAAAAACAAAAATATAAAGAAGCAGGGAAGAAATTACCCGTTGTCCCATTATGTAGTACAATTGTGGTTATGATTTTGTACATTTTATGGAGGACGTTTCAAATGTTAGGCCATATTTCTAAAATGTATTTCTTAGCCTTTAAGATACAGAAGAGAAAAATATTGTTGACTTAGAGAAGCTAGAGATTTGTTTCTTAAAATTAAAATAATTCTAAACTAAAATACTTCCTTAAGAGGTATAAATCCTAAATTATTGTCTAGAGTCCAGGACAAAATCTTTGACATGGAAAGTTTATAAAAGATAAGCTTGTTACTGCAGTTCAAGAATTTTTATCCCTAAACAATTTCTGCAGAAGTACAGATAATTCAGCGATGCCAAATTGGGTGTTGCTAGGTGGGTCTTGACGACAGCCCTGATCCTTTCATCTAAGCTTGTTCGTAGTGGACATGGTGGACAAAGGGGGTGCTGTCTGCCTCCCCCTACCAGGGACCTACGCACGGCACAGTATCCCTAGTCCGTGCACAGGAGGGACACCATCCCTGTAGGCCACAGGCTCATCACTCAGAGTCAGGCCCCTGACCTCAGGCACTTCCTGGCAGGTGCTTGGGTCTCAGCGTCCACTGAACTCCTTTAATCCTTCCACATGCTCTAAGTGTATTTTGGTTCTAAGTATATTTGGGAATTCAGAGTGGATGGGTTTTTCAGTAGAGGAGAGGAAGCATAATCAGTGAACTTTTAAGGGTATTTTTACATTTGCTTTGAAACAAACTCTTTGTCATTTAGGGCTTGACAAAACCAGTGATGGCTTCGAGAATCCAGCTCTTTTTTTATCTTTGACCTATAGCTGTTTGAACAGACTGGTGTATAAGTAAGAAGATTAGTATGTTAAACAACACAAGAATTAAAACCTAAGAAATGAGTTTACTTACACTTTTGGTATCCCAAGAACTTTAGTCTTAGTGGCAGGACTCATCAGAGAGGGAAGGCTTTTTCTTCATCCAGTGTAGAAATTATCAAGCTCTGTTACCCATTCGCCTGGTTTTCATTTGTGTTCTATCCACATTCAGTATTGTGCCCCCTTTACATGTTGGATCTCTTGGGAGAGCTCAGGAGCACATAACTCTCTGTACTTGACCTCTCCATTGCACTGGAGAACAGGTGGGTACGATTGATGGGGTGCCCAAGAGCACACTCCCGATCGAGATCAAGAGAACATTGAAACTAAGTATGTTGTTTTGTTCTAATATAGTGAAAGGCGGATATTTTTCTGTGTCTTACAGTTCAGAATTTAGGCCACCCATATTGGCTTACCTTGGCTCCAATGTATATTTGGTTTATAATTTTCTTCATCCAGCCTCACAAAGAGGAGAGATTTCTTTTCCCCGTGTACCCTCTTATATGTCTGTGTGGCGCTGTGGCCCTTTCTGCACTTCAGGTGAGTTTCAGGGAAATGTGTATCTGCTTCATTCTCTTTCATTTTTAAATGGCTCAGAAAGCTTAAAGACAAATTACAGAAAGTTTCCACTTAAGGTATCTTACCCATACATTAAATCTGATACAGATCATATTATTGAAGCTTTTTGTACTGATTGCTTGGCTATTGATCATATTCTTATTTGTTGATTACACATCTGCAGTGTTAATTTGTGTGTTACAGTTTGTCTCTGTTGCCAGCAAGAGTCCAATTGTTATTAAAGAATTTTTTAAAGTCATTTTAAGGGCCTACCACATAGTGTAGCCCTACAACAGAACTAATGGAATGTCTGCTCCTCAACTACAAGATCAGATTAAAACTTGCTCAAGTGCTTGGAATAACATCAGGCAGTTAGCAATATGGGACACTTTTAATCCTGGCTTAAAACCCATTCTGGTCAAGTCCCTGTCAGAACTGATGTTAAGTATCTCTGAATGTGTGGCCTCAGAAGCCTCCAGACTCTTTTTTGACCTCTATTATCATTTGCAGTTGGCAGAAAAGAATAACTAGGGTGATAACTTTTTTCCTTAATAAATATAATTCACAAACCATACAGCTTACCCATTTAACATGTACAATTCAGTGATTTTTTTTCCTATACTCACAGACATGTGTAACCATCACCACAGGCAATTTTAGAACATTTTCATCACTTCAAAAACTCTGTGCCCTTTAGCTGTCATCAGCCCACTGTCCCTTATCTCCCAAGCCGTGAGCAACTAGTAACCTATGCTCTGTCTCTATAGATTTGCCTATTCTGGACATTTCATATAAATGGAATCATGAAATATGTGGTCTTTTGTGGACAACTTCTTCACTTCAATATAATGTTCTTAACGCCCATCCATGTTAGGATTATAGTTTTAAAAAATAATTGAAATTGTAAAAGTAATTGAGCATCATTGCAGATAATTTTTCTCTTTCTAAATTAGTTCTGCTACCCTAACAAAACCACCTTTCAGCATTTTCGTCTATCACATGTCAAAGTTTATTATGGCTTAATCTAAGTGTACATATAACTTTCTATTCCTTTCAGTACAGTTATAATATTACCTGTGTTGTCATATATGATATACCCATTATTTTAGTAGTGTAATGTTCTGAGTTGGATATAATATGTAACATATTGTGTAATATATATTTTATAATATATTGAATTGGTTACATATAATACAGTGTTTTGATATAACTTATATTTGGTTGCCCACTTATTTCAGTGTTATAAGTAGTGCTAGGATCAATGTCTTTGCTTAGTTATTTGAATTGTTTCCTTACGAAAGGTTCCCAAATATAAAAGGAGTTCAAACATATTTATGCCACTGACAAGTATATATTTGCAATATTTTGTAGAAAGCCTTTCCAGAAGTACTTCTAGTGTAGGAGGGACAGAAAGAAGGAAAGAAATCTAGTGGTAAGGTACTCAAAGACTATGGAATTCATGCATGTGTGTATATATTGTAATAATACTCATCTAGTTTGTAAAGTAGTTTAGCAGGTAATTAAAAGCATTTTCCCAATGTTCTATGAGAGTGATTCTTTTTTTTCTTGGTGACAAGACATTTCGTTGATGCTGTAAACCCTGATGAAAACTTGTCGCTAAGGAAAGTAAAGATTAATTCTCATTATATCCATACAGATTGGGATACTTCATGTATCATAGCAAACTACCAAACACCATTTCTGTTCAAATGTTTTTAAAAAATAAGTTATTAGGACTTTAAGTACTAGAGAAGTATCCACATAGTTCTCCTGCGAAGCTAGTGAGAGTTCCTTCTCGGCACACGCTCTTGCTGCCTGACCTACAGAGAGTGGAGTTCTCTTTGATCTTAGAATTTGGAGTGGGTTTGCTCAGTAAGTGTTTGCAAATGCTCAGACCCTTACAGAAGCTCCTGTTGCTTCCTCCCTCCTGGTGCTACTGTGATGTCTTGTGATTATATTCTGTGAGGTTCATCTTTTTTCAATATGGTTTTCTTTCCTTCTAGAAATGTTATCACTTCGTGTTTCAGCGATACCGCCTGGAGCATTACACTGTGACTTCAAGTTGGCTGGCATTAGGGACACTCCTCCTGTTTGGGCTCTTATCCTTTTCTCGCTCGGTGGCACTGTTCAGAGGTGGATGTACCACGAATATCCTAACCTGCTCTCAGGAGGCACTTCACTGGGGGTTCTGTTTAGGGTGATTCACTACAGCTTAAACTGGGAGGAGGACTTTTCTGTAGGTAGAACCTGTGGACTAATGAGTGGGCTGTGACTTCTCTACCTCTGGACTGAAGAGAAGATTGAGAATTATTGTTAGTGTGACTAGCTATAAATTTTTTTCTCTATTCCTGTGAATTTTTTTTTCCTCTTAAAGGAAGCTTTTTTTTTTAAAGGATGAATTAAGGAAGCCTTAGGTTTAAGATGCAAATTTGTGGCTTAGTTCCCGTGATTATATTCTTTTTTGTAATCATTATTTCCGTCCAGGGTATTAAAATGTGTTGAGAGAACATAAGTTTAAAAGGTTGGAAGGGTACAGGGCAAGAAAGCAAATTATTTTTGGCAAAACAGGGCCTCTTTGGTAATCCTCTTCCTAACCCCAGAGATGTTTTGCGCTAGTAGAGCAGCTTCCTGCTGGGGTTGCCTTGGGCCTCCACTCATGAATTTCACATGGATCACAGCGGGGCAGGAACACACATCATAACTAACGTCAGAATCTTGTTTTACTCGTCTTTGGCTTTCACAAACGTTTCTCTTCTCCAGGGTACCATGGGCCCCTTGACTTGTATCCAGAATTTCACCGCATTGCTACGGACCCTGCCATCCACACTGTCCCAGAAGGCAGGCCTGTGAATGTCTGTGTAGGGAAAGAGTGGTATCGATTTCCCAGCAGCTTCCTTCTGCCTGATAAGTAAGTTGTCCTTTAATTCCCAGAGTTTTAAATCAGGCAGTAAAAGTACCAACTCAGTGGCAATGTCTTTTTAATTTCTTTTTCATTTTGGATTTTTCAAAAAAGTTTTTGAACAGTTTACTGCCTCAGAGAGCTGTGAGATCTGCACTGTGCCCCTGTCGCCTCTGCTCGGGAGTCTGAGGGCCTTACACTGCCTGGGGGTGGCTGGGGACTTTGAAAAACACTGGGGCCTTGGCCTCCCTCTGGTGGCTCTTCCCTGAGGGTTCATCTTTAAATTTCTATAATTATCTGATATTAATCCACTTCTAAAAGTGGTCTAGAAACTCTGGCTAGAAGAACTGTTTGTCATTTAGTAGCAATGAGAGCTCTTTACCCCTGGGAAAGCAGTGGTGAGATGTCTGCACCCCTTCCTTTTATGCTGTCTTTCGTTGGATGTGGTAACGTAGGCTCTGAAGTTCCCCCGATTTGCTTGATTCTGGCAGAGAAGAGTCCTCTTTGGGGAAAAGGGACGTCAGGCTAAGAGGAGTTATGCACCCCATTTGGGGCCTGGCTTTGGCAGCCTAGCTGGTGGTGGCATCTTGTGCTCGATGAAGATCCTGTATCAGTCCTTAACAACTGGATTTAAAATTTGTTTTTTAAGCATCAGCATTAACCTTTGCCTTTTACATTTGACACTATGGCAAAGCAAGAGCTGCTCTTGAGAACCGCTGAGGAGCAAGGCGCTGTGCTTCCTTTTCCCTCTCTTCCTGCCTGGTGGGTTTGCTTTAGTTCCGAGAGGTCCCCCCAGTACCGTGGCCACGGGCAATAAACCGATGCTTCTCTGGTTGTTTGATGATACAGCCATTTGGTTGCAAATGTCATTGCTGAGATGGGTGAAATGGGTCGGGAGACCTCTCCTGAAAATTTCTCAATGATTTTGGATTAAATTGTGACCTCTGCCTCTGTGCTCCCTGGCTCAGGTTTTAGCAGAAATATTTTTCTCCAAGTAAAATGTTTTTCACATGAATTTCTTTTTTGGCTTGTCTATTTCAAGTACATTTAGCAATATGGGCCTCTGTGTTTTTCTTATTCTCTTTGTGTTTCTGACAGTTGGCAGCTTCAGTTCATTCCATCAGAGTTCAGAGGCCAGTTACCAAAACCTTTTGCAGAGGGACCGTTGGCCACCCGGATTGTTCCTCCTGACATGAATGACCGGAACCTAGAGGAGCCATCCCGATATGTAAGGGCAACACTTCCTTTCACTACTTCTAAAGAGCTCTGCCCCTAAAGCCTGTCTGCCTACAGATCAGTGTTGAAAAATATAGGAATTTCTTAGAAAGGTGATTTCTTTAGGGTGAGAGCTTACGTTGAGAAGCAATGAAGGATCACTTTTATTTTCAAATTACTTTATTTTCTGTGTAAAACATAATTCAATATATTTGCTAAGCTGGGCTGCAAATTTTCTTATGTTGAAGTCAGATCATCATTTTGAAACACATTCTGAAACTTACATTCCTTGGCCCATTAAAATACTTAGTGCGGACCTTTCAAGCTGTCAATAAACCTTTGACCTAACCGTTATTAAGGTTGAGGCACACAGTCGGTGATGGCTGTTTCCACCGCAAGTCCATGAGGCAGTCTCCGTCAGGGCTCTACTCTTTCCCCGCTCATCTTTGTGCGTGCTGAGATCCCATGTGAATTTTATTTCAACTCCTTTGAAAGGTGACACTTTTGCTGTTTGATAGCTGCCAAGTCTTTGAGTGTGAAAAAGGTGAGACCAATAAAGATAATATTCCTGGTTCCCGAGACAGTAAGAAACTATTTTACAGAATTATTAGAAAGCGCATTTTTTGGCAACCTGTTAAAGAAACATTCAGCAGTTTGTGTCAAATACATTTCATTTGGGTTTTGTTGTGTCATGTACCTGAAATGTAAAATACCAGGACTTCTGATTCTCTTCTGAAGCAAACCAGCAGCCACACCTGGCCTTTTGTTTCCTAGACTGGGGCTGGCCAGGTTTCCGAGGAGACCCTCAGGGCTTATGAGTGAGATTCTTACTGCGTGAGCTTTAGCCATAAGCCATGAAAATGGACATGTAGAATACATACTTGGCCTGGCCCCTGAGAAGGTGAGGTGTGTATCCCACCACGGCTTATATTAGAGCCTCTATATTAGAGCCTCTCAGTCCTGTAGCATGGAAATAGCTCTGGGCGGGTGGACCTTTTTCCGCCCTTTGCATTTCAGCGGCAGATACTGTCCTGAGAACAAGCGCCAGTGTTCAGGGATCAGCATGGGGACACTGGATAGTTAGAAAGGTAGGAGAGTGCATGATGGTAGGGAAGAAAATATACAGTGTGATGATGTCACAGTTGTGTTTTAGGAAGAGGTAGCATGGAAAGGAAAAAAGGCCAAGGACATAGGAGTCCAGCAGGCCAGAGTTCAGATTCTAGCCCTCTTGCTTTCCTTGGTGGCCTTGGGCAAATCAGTTAACTTCTGTGTTTAACTAATTTCAGTTTCTCTCTGAAAAATGGCAATAATAATTCCTACTTTGGAAGATGATTATGAGATAAGATATTTTTCTGTCGTAATTAGCATAATGTCTGGTACATAGATTTTCCCTAAATCTGATAATGTGTCAGGTAGATCATAGGTAAAGGAAGCCTCATGAGGATTTGTAATCTGCCTGAGTCTAATTCTGTCTCTCCTTCCTTATTTTTGTTTTTGAGCCTGGTTTCTCCTTCGGTCTGCCCAGACTCATTGCCTTGTCCACCCCATTGATTTTGTTCAATTTGGTGACCAAGCCTGGAGTGCCTCTCTCCTCCTTAGATTCTCAAAACTCTCTTCCTCTCCAAAACCTTTCCCAACTGCTCAAGTCTGTAGTGAGCAGTCCTCCTTTAAATGCCTTGAATATTTATCTGATCAGCTCATTTAGCCGTTTAATTTTGTCGTCCTAGTCATTCAAATATTTCTGACACGTATGTTGTACCTTTCCCCATCATACTGTGAATTCTTTGAAGAAAATGACTGTATTCACCACAGTATCTAGGATATGCAGCATATCTAGTGGCTAGCCTGTACGTGCTTTCTGAATGGGGAAGTGAGCATTCATATGGTTGAGACAGTAATGCTAAGAGAAAGCTGGCTATAAAACCTGCAGTGGCCTTTGGCACATTTCTTAGGCTTTAGTCACTGGTTTTCTCTGGTTAGATCATATTCCCATATTCTTTGCTACCAGACACTGTTAAATTTAGTTAATTAACTCTATATTAGCTTTATCCAAAAGGTGAAGATTTTTTACAATACCTGCAGGAGTCTCCAAAATGCTGCTGATAAAAGCAGGGCCAGACAGACAAGTGTCTGCTGAGTGTGGCAATAATAATACCTGCTTTGGTATCACACTCAGTGCTCATCCACCTTTATGTGGGTGAGAGTTTCCTTGCAGAGCTCTTGGGATTTTCCTGTGCTCCCCAAATCCAGGCCACCCACCTTTGACCCTTTGGAAAGTACAGGAAACATTTGATGACATACTGTGATTCTGTATGAACTGTCATGAGGGCTCATTTCTCTCTGCTGTTTGAAAAGATACTTATTTTCCTCTGACGAATAAAGTGGTATACATTTGTGGTATGGAATAATGAGAGCTATTGATAAGGGAAAAGAATCCACATATTAAACCACTGTTTTTTCTTTCACTTTTTTCCCTAGCCCATGTATGTACATATGTGTGTAATACTAATTATTTTAAATTTAATGTTGTAGTTCTTTACTACCAGTATCATGACTGAAATGTCCAGATACCTTTGGCCAGCATATAGGAGAACATGCTGTACCACATTTATGTCTGTCACTTCTGGTGTCAGTCCTGGTTTTAAGTCCAGGTTCATTTAAGAAGGCACATAGCTATGTTCTCTATCTCTCCTGAGCATCTAAATAGCAGCATTATTTTTATCTGCCCTTTGGCTCTGAGTGACAGGTCTTGGCCAGCCTTTGGCTTCAGTGCTGAGTGGTTTGGTCTGCATTCTGTTTCTGGTCTGTACAGAAACTGGAAAACATGCATACTGCCTTTATTTCACAGTCCTTTTTACATCTAAGAAATTAGGAGTATTTGTAAGGCTCTGTGGGTCCTGTGGCAACATTGGAACTGTATGTAATGCAGAAATAATATTTCTCTGCTGCACATCTGTAGTGGTAGGTATTGAGTAGCTGTTGAACACATCATTATTGGACAGATGGCATTATACAGTGGTACATGCCAAGTTTTCTGCCAGAATCAAGGCCTGAATTTAGAAAATACATTCAACATTTCTTGACAAATCCAAACTTTTGTTCACTATTTCAAGGTGAATTAATACCCTTCTGACTCCAAATCTGATATCTGATTTGAGAGTTAGTGGATAGGATTTAGAGTAAAAAACTACTGTTCAAGGGGGAGCTCACAGATACTTTTCTCTGACTTTGACTTAATGCTTAAGCAGACTTGTGGGAAGCCTGTCCGTTACCTTTAAAAAAAAAATGTTCATTGATGAATTTTTCCCAAACAGTAATACACTCAGTTCTGCTGTAACATGATATAAAATTACTAAAAATAATTGTGTGGTAAAAACCACAAGGCTTATGGGAGAAATGGGGTTAGGGACACAATACTTAGAAACTTTGTCAGTGACACATTAAAAAAAAAAGATAGGAGCCTAATGAAAATGGTTGCAGTTTTACCTATGTTTAAGTACACAAATACGATAATAGTGTGGGAGTTTGCTTTGAAAAAGCCCTGAAGTTTGCCTGTGGAAGTGGTGTTGGAAGGGTTGTGAAGTACAGACAGGTTATCTGAAATGTGACAAAGTTGTAATTCCAAATATGAATGCGTGTGGCTCATAACACACCAAGACTGAAGAGTCAGGGGGCATTTGAGGGTGTGCTTGTGTGTACTGTGTGTTTTCCTATGGGTACAGTTTTCTGGATTCACATAGTGTTTCTTGTGGATTAAATGACATATGAACAAATCCAAAAATGGATTATTCTCAGATTATTCCCTAATATATCAGTTGCAGTTGAACAGTTTGCATTTTCAAAACAAGTATTACATACTGTAACAGAACTGACTATATATCCAAAGCTTTCTGTCTCTTATTTTTCTTTATCCCTGCTCTCCTAATTAATCAGTGGAGAGAATTATGGATTTTGAAGGAACTTAAGATACCACAGAGTCTATGATCTCTTCATTTTATGGCTGGGGAAACCAAGGCTCAGAGAGATGGTACTCTGACAAAGGTTAGTCCTATGATAAGCAACCTTGGCTTCAGGATTTTCCAATATTCTTTTTATTCTTCACCTCTTACTTCCAAAGCTACTTACAGATCATACCATATGGTGTATCACCTGAGTATATGTTTCATGTGATGGTTAGTCATTCTTTGATGTAAGAGGGTTGAATAGACATTATGTGGCTGAGCATTACTTTTTTTTTTTTTTTGGTATCATTAATGTACAATTACATGAGCAACATCATGGTTACTAGACTTCCCCCTTTTCCCCCCTGCCGTCATCAAGTCCCCCCCACATACCCCATTACAGTCACTGTCCATCAGCATAGTAAGATGCTATAGAATCACTACTTGTCTTCTCTGTGCTGTACTGCCTTCCCCGTGCCCCAACCCCCACATTATGTATGCTAATCGCAGTGAGCATTAGTTTTTTAAAAAGTTACTTTCTACTTATAGAGCTCTGTTATATATATACCAGGTATTTTAAGTAGTGATTACTGTATTTATCAACCTATCAAAATGATCAAGGTCCACTCTCTTTTCTTTTTTCTCCCTATCTCTTTTCTCTTTTAATCCTTTCTCCTGCCCTTCTTAGAAGCCCTATTGGAGGAGAAAATTAGTTGTCTTAAAGATATCCTTACCAATTGTTAACAGCCTTGAGTATCACAGCAAGCAGATTCAAATTGCTTTGGTGTGTGCAGTAGAGTAAGAAAGATTTGGAATCACAGGAATTTAAGTGAAGGCTGTACAAGATGCTTCTTTAAAATTAATTCCCTAGTACCCATTATGTTGCATTAGAAACGATGTTTCCATGATCTTTAGTGACTGAGTAACCACAAATTTTTACCTGTGAGTTTACATTTTTATAGTGCAGTACATTTTTACTTCTGAAT